GAGGTGGGGAAAGGGGGTTGGATGTGTTCGAGGAATATGGGAGGTGGGGAAAGGTGATTTGATGTGTTCAAGGAATATGGGAGGTGGGCAAAGGGGGTTGGATGTGTTCAAGGAATATGGGAGGTCGGGAAAGGGGATTTGATGTGTTCAAGGAATATGGGAGGCAGGGAAAGGGGATTTGATGTGTTCAAGGAACATGGGAGGTGGGGAAAGGGGGTTTGATGTGTCTAAGGAATATGGGAGGTGGGCAAAGGGGGTTTGATGTGTTCAAGGAATATGGGAGGTGGGGAAAGGGGGTTTGATGTGTTCAAGGAATATGGGAGGTGGGGAAAGGGGGTTTGATGTGTTCAAGGAATATGGGAGGTGGGGAAAGGGGGTTGGATGTGTTCGAGGAATATGGCAGGTGGAGGAAGGGGTTGGATGTGTTCAAGGAATATGGGAGGTGGGGAAAGGGGGTTTGATGTGTTCAAGGTAATATGAGGGGTGGAGAAAGGGGGTTTGATGTGTTCAAGGAATAGGAGAGGTGGTTACAGGGGTTTGATGTGTTCAAGGAATATGAGGCGTCGAGAAAGTGGTTTGAAGTCATCTTCAAGACGTGCATGAGCGCTCGTATAGCTGCTTGTAGTCTGGAGGTTCTAGGTTTCATAGTGCTAACCCACACCAATACCATGCTGCAGTTGAACATGGATACACAACTTCAGTAGACTGAATCCAAGCTAACTTGGTTTTGTCTCAGAGAACCAGGCAGGAAAACAACAAGTTCCACCTTCTAACCTCTGTTGCTATGACACTGTTAGAGGGTTAAAACATGCATGTTGATCACTCCAAGCACCACTCTACCCACGCCACCATACAGGTAAAGGGTATGTGTTCAAGTACAATGTTTGTGTTTGGTTGACGTCTTTTGGCATGAGTACGGTATACAAAGGCAAGGCATGACTTATCTTGTATGCACCACGGCAGGTATTGCTCAACCTGGCTTTCTAAGTGGGCATTTTACATTCCTGAAGGTAAATACTGCATTCAAACAGATCCCATGACTGACTGTAGGTTTGACACCTGTCAGAAACAGTGGGAGCCTACTTACTAGTGTTGGGAATTGGTTAAAATCTCATAATTGATGATTGGTTCATTACTACCGATCAATCATCGAAAATAATTGGTTAGTGTTATTTATGAAATTTGTTAATGCACATAAAAATAAGGGAAAAAATGTTGTTCTTTTGGGGTTTTGGCAAAATTTCACATCTTTAAAGGATGACTAGTATGTTAGGAACATAAATTTCTTGGAATCTTTAAGATAAATTCAATCATGACTTGAAATGAGCTTGTAGTGCTTATGAAATGTAACAGACAAAACCAACCATGTGAAAAATATTGTTAATGAAAACAAGTGTTCCAGAATTGTTTGTGTTCGATTATGAGAAATTGTGATCGATTGCTTGGTCGTTTAGTCACTACGACCAATCTTCGATTATATCAATTAATTGGACCACCACTACTACTTAGTGACTGATCTGTAATCCGATCAGGAACAATAATTACCATAACACAACAATACTAGTATACATGCATGACAAGGAGGATCATTATGTCACGAATCAATACAAATTACTTGTGTATGTAAGAACATGCTTTGCACTGAGTGCAAGACATATGTACCCTTTTCTCAAAATATCAGGTAATATAGGAAGGCCTCGAACTGACCTCAGGCTAAAGGTTATACCTGAGCCACTCAAAGAAGGTTATATCTTGTTTCATGATTATATACAAATATGACAAATAAGTACATTCCATACAATATGGCCAACTGGAAGCAGAAGCTGAAGGGACCATTCATATTTTACATTGGCATGGGGGGGGACAGAGGTTTTGGATGTACTAGTGCTTGGCATATTTTTAATGACCCTCCCTGATAAAAACAAAGTTTGACTTAATTCCTTGACTTAATATTTTCTAAAAACAAAATGTCAACTTTATCATGACCCTCCCTTAATTTGCATATTATCTTTCATAACCCTCTCGGGGTGGTGGGATAGCCTAGTGGTTAAAGCGTCCTGCTCGTCACGCCGAAGTCCCGAGTTCGATTCCCCACATGGGTACAATGTGTGAAGCCCATTTCTGGTGTCCCCCGCCGTGATATTGCTGGAATATTGCTGAAAGCGGCGTAAAACCAAACTCACTCACTCATAACCCTCTCCCTCCAGACTGTTTTTTTTTCAGGGTTCTCCCAAATCTGTATACCCCGACTCCCATACTGAATAACTATCACTGACTCCCATACTGAATAACTATCACTGACTCCCATACTGAATAACTATCACTGACTCCCATACTGAATAACTATCACTGACTCCCATACTGAATAACTATCACGGACTCCCATACTGAATAACTATCACTGACTCCCATACTGAATAACTATCACTGACTCCCATACTGAATAACTATCACTGACTCCCATACTGAATAACTATCACTGACTCCCATACTGAATAACTATCACTGACTCCCATACTGAATAACTATCACTGACTCCCATACTGAATAACTATCACTGACTCCCATACTGAATAACTATCACTGACCATACTATCACATACTGAATACTATCATCGACCATACTGAATAACTATCACTGACTCCCATACTGAATAACTATCACTGACTCCCATACTGAATAACTATCACTGACTCCCATACTGAATAACTATCACTGACTCCCATACTGAATAACTATCACTGACTCCCATACTGAATAACTATCACTGACTCCCATACTGAATAACTATCACCTCTATACTGACTAACTATCATGACTGAATACTGAATATACTGAATAACTATCACTGACTCCCATACTGAATAACTATCACCGACTCCCATACTGAATAACTATCACTGACTCCCATACTGAATAACTATCACTGACTCCCATACTGAATAACTATCACTGACTCCCATACTGAATAACTATCACTGACTCCCATACTGAATAACTATCACTGACTCCCATACTGAATAACTATCACTGACTCCATACTGAATAACTATCACTGACTATCATACTGAATAACTATCACCGACTCCCATACTGAATAACTATCACTGACTCCCATACTGAATAACTATCACTGACTCACTGATTCCCATACTGAATAACTATCACCGACTCCCATACTGAATAACTATCACTGACTCCCATACTGAATAACTATCACTGACTCACTATCACTCTTCCATACTGAATAACTATCACTGACTCCCATACTGAATAACTATCACTGACTCCCATACTGAATAACTATCACTGACTCCCATACTGAATAACTATCACTGACTTCATACTGAATAACTATCACTGACTCCCATACTGAATAACTATCACTGACTCCCATACTGAATAACTATCACTGACTCCCATACTGAATAACTATCACTGACTCCCATACTGAATAACTATCACTGACTCCCATACTGAATAACTATCACGGACTCCCATACTGAATAACTATCACTGACTCCCATACTGAATAACTATCACTGACTCCCATACTGAATAACTATCACTGACTCCCATACTGAATAACTATAACTCCCATACTGAATAACTATCACTGACTCCCATACTGAATAACTATCACTGACTCCCATACTGAATAACTATCACTGACTCCCATACTGAATAACTATCACTGACTCCCATACTGAATAACTATCACTGACTCCTGACATACTGAATAACTATCACTGACTCCCATACTGAATAACTATCACTGACTCCCATACTGAATAACTATCCTGACATACTGAATAACTATCACTGACTCCCATACTGAATAACTATCACTGACTCCCATACTGAATAACTATCACTGACTCACTGACCATACTGAATAACTATCACTGACTCCCATACTGAATAACTATCACTGACTCCCATACTGAATAACTATCACTGACTCCCATACTGAATAACTATCATCACTGACCCATACTGAATAACTATCACTGACTCCCATACTGAATAACTATCACTGACTCCCATACTGAATAACTATCACTGACTCCCCATACTGAATAACTATCACTATCACTGACTCCCATACTGAATAACTATCACTCCCATACTGAATAACTATCACTGACTCCCATACTGAATAACTAATCCCATACTGAAACTATCACTGACTCCCATACTGAATAACTATCACTGACTCCCCATACTGAATAACTATCACTGACTCCCATACTGAATAACTATCACTGAATAACTATAACTATCACTGATCACTGACTCCCATACTGAATAACTATCACTGACTCCCATACTGAATAACTATCACTGACTCCCATACTGAATAACTATCACTGACTCCCATACTGAATAACTATCACTGACTCCCATACTGAATAACTATCACTGACTCCCATACTGAATAACTATCACTGACTCCCATACTGAATAACTATCACTGACTCCCATACTGAATAACTATCACTGACTCCCATACTGAATAACTATCACTGACTACTGAATAACTATCACTTTCATCTGAATGAATCAACTGAATAACTATCACTGACTCCCCCATACTGAATAACTATCACTGACTCCCATACTGAATAACTATCACTGACTCCCATACTGAATAACTATCACCGACTCCCATACTGAATAACTATCACTGACTCCCATACTGAATAACTATCATCTGATCTGAATCAATGAATCATGAACTTCTTCATGGTGTGACCTCAAGCTGGCCACAGATGATGATGATGATGATGATGATGATGATGATGATGATGATGATCTACACCTGCTCACAGATTTGTGATGATGTTACCGTAGTCACAGATACATGATAACCTTGTCCTTCAGTTGGTTTACAAACATAAATATGTGACATTTCATCACAAATGACACGACCAATATACCACAGGTATAAAATAACTCTAAGATCATAGACAGATATGTGACACACATTGAATCTCACCTGGAAGCATGTGGGGCCTGGTTTTCCGGACGGCACTGAGGTCTGTGTGTGAATCTTCAGCTCCCCGACAATTGCGATCATCGTCTTGCACACAATGTGTTCAATCTGTTCCCAGATCCAGTCTGTATCATGACCCATAGCGTCCATCTGCTGGAACACTGACGTCAGCTTTCGTTTACTCCCTTCCTCATCCCTCTCCGATTGGTTGAAAGTACTACTTCGCTTATTCAACGAGTAATTCGTCAAATGCATGAACACCTCTTGCAAGTTTTTATTGGTAGGATTCTCATAAGGAATGGTAGAAAATCTAGCGAGGCCCTCTTTACATATATAAAACTCCAGAGGTTCCACGCTTGTCACGGTCACATACACTCGGAGGTCAAATTTAAATTTCTCCAACAAAAACACATTGGACAAATATTCCTGGACTATATGGCAGCGGCCATTATGGCTATTGTACTGGGCGGGTTCCCGAGGAGGTAGATGCCCTCACCCTGGGAGCCCTCGCTCGGTTTGACTATATACGTGGGTTTAGGCTTCACCTTCTTCTCCAGCAGCTGTCGGACCTCGTTGCTGAACTCGTGGAACTGGTAGGGTAGAAACCAGGATCGGGGATAGAAGTCATAATCACTGGGGAACAGATTCCTCATGAAGTCCAGCGTCCGACACAGATTTATTTTACTTAACATTTCTTGTATACCTGCAACATAAAGGCAATATCTTTGTAAATGCAGAAGATTTTATCTATCTCCAACTTGAAGCTGAGAACCAAACTTTTGGGTTTGGGACATGGTGTTACCAATATTACTATCGATTCTTCTTCCATTCTCTCCCATTATAATAGCACCTGAGAACAATTAACCAATACTTCACATATCATGTGACACTATGCATAATCAAAAACTGGAATTCGCAAATGGAAAAATAGTTGATCAGTACATGTCCTTCACCAAATGGCTCATACTAATTATCGAACAAGACATTGGTGTAGTACTGTTTACCAGTGAAACCAAGATATTAACAAAAATACACTATTTTGTCTATTTAATGCATGTAAGGCGTGGGTAATAAATAATATACACTTACGGTCTCATTACATACGAATTATACGAAACTCATGACCTTCCTATGTTATCTGACCTACCGCCGCCGGTCAGATACCATAGGAAGGACACTCGCTTTGATATAATTAAGTATGTAATGAGACTCATTCTCATACAAGTCAGATTAAGGTGCTCACTGCTACCAGACAAAGGCCTAATGACATTCTACTATGTCAGATCTTTCATCCGACTAATCATTTACCAGATCAGAAAAGTGAAAATCTGAACATGTTTTCTAATTATGCAACCATGAAAATATTACCATGAGTAATTTCAAACAAGGGCTACATGCTGTACAACATATTTCATCAAAATAGTCATTTATCCATGAGATAAACATTTGGAAAAAGAAAAACAATACCATAGCCCTTGAGAAGTGCTGCCATACAAGCCCTGTCATGTGTCAAGACATTCCACAATCTTCTTTCCGTTTTTAAATTTTAAATCAAGAGCCAAGTCAAAATATGTTTCAATGTATAGTCTGGAATGAATATCTTCTTAAATCTTTGTTAGCGCTAGCAAGATCTACAACCTGACTTTAATGTTTGCCTAATTCTCAGTTTGAAAGATGTGACTCTATGACTTTCAAAGTTTGACATCTTCAAGTATGTACCAAGTTTTTCACCTGCTTATATAAAGAGACTTAGGATCAAAGCTTTGGCTTCAGACAGTCATGACATTCAAGATTGAGACTTTGGTTTCAGACAGACATGACATTCAAGATTGAGACTTTGGTTTCAGACAGTCATGACATCCAAGATTGAGACTTTGGTTTCAGACAGACATGACATTCAAGATTGAGACTTTGGTTTCAGACAGTCATGACATTCAAGATTGAGACTTTGGTTTCAGACAGTCATGACATCCAAGATTGAGACTTTGGTTTCAGACAGACATGACATTCAAGATTGAGACTTTGGTTTCAGACAGACATGACATTCAAGATTGAGACTTTGGTTTCAGACAGACATGACATCCAAGATTGAGACTTTGGTTTCAGACAGACATGACATTCAAGATTGAGACTTTGGTTTCAGACAGTCATGACATTCAAGATTGAGACTTTGGTTTCAGACAGTCATGACATCCAAGATTGAGACTTTGGTTTCAGACAGACATGACATTCAAGATTGAGACTTTGGTTTCAGACAGTCATGACATTCAAGATTGAGACTTTGGTTTCAGACAGTCATGACATCCAAGATTGAGACTTTGGTTTCAGACAGACATGACATTCAAGATTGAGACTTTGGTTTCAGACAGTCATGACATTCAAGATTGAGACTTTGGTTTCAGACAGTCATGACATTCAAGATTGAGACTTTGGTTTCAGACAGACATGACATTCAAGATTGAGACTTTGGTTTCAGACAGACATGACATCCAAGATTGAGACTTTGGTTTCAGACAGACATGACATTCAAGATTGAGACTTTGGTTTCAGACAGTCATGACATTCAAGATTGAGACTTTGGTTTCAGACAGTCATGACATTCAAGATTGAGACTTTGGTTTCAGACAGTCATGACATTCAAGATTGAGACTTTGGTTTCAGACAGACATGACATTCAAGATTGAGACTTTGGTTTCAGACAGACATGACATCCAAGATTGAGACTTTGGTTTCAGACAGACATGACATTCAAGATTGAGACTTTGGTTTCAGACAGTCATGACATTCAAGATTGAGACTTTGGTTTCAGACAGACATGACATTCAAGATTGAGACTTTGGTTTCAGACAGTCATGACATTCGAGATTGAGACTTTGGTTTCAGACAGACATGACATTCAAGATTGAGACTTTGGTTTCAGACAGTCATGACATTCGAGATTGAGACTTTGGTTTCAGACAGACATGACATTCAAGATTGAGACTTTGGTTTCAGACAGACATGACATTCAAGATTGAGACTTTGGTTTCAGACAGTCATGACATTCAAGATTGAGACTTTGGTTTCAGACAGACATGACATTCTGAGATTGAGACTTTGGTTTCAGACAGTCATGACATTCAAGATTGAGACTTTGGTTTCAGACAGACATGACATTCAAGATTGAGACTTTGGTTTCAGACAGACATGACATTCAAGATTGAGACTTTGGTTTCAGACAGTCATGACATTCAAGATTGAGACTTTGGACTTCAGACAGTCATGACATTCAAGATTGAGACTTTGGTTTCAGACAGTCATGACATTCAAGATTGAGACTTTGGTTTCAGACAGTCATGACATTCAAGATTGAGACTTTGGTTTCAGACAGACATGACATTCAAGATTGAGACTTTGGTTTCAGACAGACATGACATTCAAGATTGAGACTTTGGTTTCAGACAGTCATGACATCTCATGAGATTGAGACTTTGGTTTCAGACAGTCATGACATTCAAGATTGAGACTTTGGTTTCAGACAGACATGACATTCAAGATTGAGACTTTGGTTTCAGACAGACATGACATTCAAGATTGAGACTTTGGTTTCAGACAGACATGACATTCAAGATTGAGACTTTGGTTTCAGACAGACATGACATTCAAGATTGAGACTTTGGTTTCAGACAGACATGACATTCAAGATTGAGACTTTGGTTTCAGACAGTCATGACATTCGAGATTGAGACTTTGGTTTCAGACAGTCATGACATTCAAGATTGAGAGTGTGGTTTCAGACAGACATGACATTCGAGATTGAGACTTTGGTTTCAGACAGTCATGACATTCGAGATTGAGACTTTGGTTTCAGACAGACATGACATTCAAGATTGAGACTTTGGTTTCAGACAGACATGACATTCAAGATTGAGACTTTGGTTTCAGACAGACATGACATTCAAGATTGAGACTTTGGTTTCAGACAGTCATGACATTCGAGATTGAGACTTTGGTTTCAGACAGTCATGACATTCAAGATTGAGACTTTGGTTTCAGACAGACATGACATTCAAGATTGAGACTTTGGTTTCAGACAGTCATGACATTCAAGATTGAGACTTTGGTTTCAGACAGACATGACATTCGAGATTGAGACTTTGGTTTCAGACAGACATGACATTCAAGATTGAGACTTTGGTTTCAGACAGACATGACATTCAAGATTGAGACTTTGGTTTCAGACAGACATGACATTCAAGATTGAGACTTTGGTTTCAGACAGTCATGACATTCAAGATTGAGACTTTGGTTTCAGACAGTCATGACATTCAAGATTGAGACTTTGGTTTCAGACAGTCATGACATTCAAGATTGAGACTTTGGTTTCAGACAGTCATGACATTCAAGATTGAGACTTTGGTTTCAGACAGACATGACATTCGAGATTGAGACTTTGGTTTCAGACAGTCATGACATTCAAGATTGAGACTTTGGTTTCAGACAGACATGACATTCGAGATTGAGACTTTGGTTTCAGACAGTCATGACATTCAAGATTGAGACTTTGGTTTCAGACAGACATGACATTCAAGATTGAGAGTGTGGTTTCAGACAGACATCACATTCGAGATTGAGGCATTCTTCTACTGTGTTACTTGTCAGGTTGAAAATACTCATCACTGTGTTCAGCCCGCCCTGATATTAGCCACACAGATATATACTACTCCAAAGAAATATAAAAAATATAACAACACTGATTCTTTCACAATACTGTAATTAATCTCTCCTGACAGATTAACTACATTAACATAAGACATGTGTTACCAGATACCACTGGCACTTAATGAGTCATGTGCCAGATTGCTTCCCTTTGAGGAGGCAGGATCCTCTGGTCTGACAGATTAACATAAGAGATGTGTTACCAGATACCACTGGCACTTAATGAGTCAAGTGCCAGATTGCTTCCCTTTGAGGAGGCAGGATCCTCTGGTCTGACAGATGAACTAGAGTAATATGAAGTAATGGGTGATCTTTAACTTCTTTTAGGTTGTACTAGGGTACATGATACAAATCCATTCCATATTTTCATGCTTGTGTCATACATTCTTCTAATCATCTTCAAACTGACAGCATATGAAGTCTAATAATATTCTTTGATTGAATTTGGCCAAGTGTTGTTTTAAACAGTTTACATGTTGATGTTGACTAAGCATCAAATATACACTAATCATGCAAAAGCGAATTATTAAATGAAATACTCCATTTTGTCCTTGGTAATGTCAAATTAGTGTAAATTCATTCATGTACATTCTGACATAATTCGTTTTTATAAATATCATGATTTGAACATGATCAGCACCAAGTTGTTGTAAGTTCAGCAAGAACTGTATACATTAGCAACTGCTTTGAGGGTGAATTAATATTGCGTGAAGGAGGGTATAAAACTAATTATATCACATGGGATACAAACATGAAGCACTTCACACCATAATGATAAAACCTTAATCAAATCTTACTGCCCTTTATCTAAATCAAATCATCCGACTTCCTCACGTGCCCAGGCAGGGTAGTTACAAATATACAACCTGCTGATTAAATGGATACAGCACACCCTGGTTGTGTAACTAGGAATACTGCCTTTGTCCCACTACTTTCAACACTTTCTATAGGAATATTGACATGTCTGGTTCAAACAGAGATATATACCAATCAGAACGGAAAAGGCTACCAACATAAATATTTCATTTTATCACACCTCTCAGTACTATTCACAACGCAGCACGGCACCGATGTTGACTGTTAATATTTAAAGTACTTATCAATGTCTGATTGATAATAGCACACGCCAATCATTCTCTGCGCCACGCGTATTGTTTCAGAACATGTAACTAAAACATACCCTTAGCCATGATGTCGAGGAGATACAGCACAGACACCAACATCGCGGAGAGTCACTATACCTACTTACTCAATGACTTCTGGCAAACAAACTCAAGTGTTAGAAGCTAAAAAACAAACCATAAAACTGATAAGCAGTAAGTGTCTTTACATAAAGTGTGAGAACGAAGGTCTATATTATGTAAGAAAACACATTGGCTTCAAATGAACATGCGAAATAGTCTCCTGGAACAATACTATAATGCTAGGGATGTATTGATGGTAAATATTTGTACTACCTGTCTGTGTTAATACACACCTTATGACGTACATAGGAATGGTTTGTGGGAACAATACTCTAATGCTAGTTACGTAGTGATGACAAATATTAGTATTACCTGTCTATGTTAATACACACCTTACGGCGTACATGGGGATCAATACATTTCATTTAGATTTCCAACAGATTGCGAGCTAAGTGTTGGATGTCAGACTGACTTTTGTGAAACTTTTTGAATATTGTGCAGACAAACCAAAGAACATGAGCCTGATTCAACCAACCTTAAGCGGATCCTGGTACACCAAAGAAATGCAACTCTGCACTTCACACATTTAGTATGGTATGGGGCAAACAAACAACAAAACCATCAGGACATCAGTATTTAAACCATTACAGGCACTAACTGCTAATAAATACTATGGCTAATAATAATTAATGAGCTAGAACATAACCACTAAGGGACCGGTCATAATTTATGGCTAGGGTGGGTGATGATGATTTTTATGGAGAAGCATGTACAATGTGACTGCACCCCCTTAAATGTATGTACAAAGTAAGTGAACCCCCCTGCATGTCATGAACAAAATCAATTACACCCCCTTCCATGACCCCCACCCTCCACATCCTCAGAGCAAAATGACCCCACTTAAAATATCATCATGTAGCCATAAATGATGAGCCTCCTAAGCCCAGTACATGTATACATGCTCTGTTGTCTATGACCTTTGTAATTCTATTTTTATCCAATAACCATGTTGGGCCTTCGTTATTATTCATGCTGATATTTTAGAACAGGGACTATTAAAGCTAAATGGTTTTTGTTCATTTTTCCCATTTCTAACAGATCTGATCTAAGAACGAATAATTCCCAGCAGAATCACTGACCTGGAAACTTGTTGACTCTGCCCGATATGAGGTCGCTGTGGTCATGGAAACCAATCGCATGCCAGTAGAAGTCACATGGTTCTCTGCGGGGCATGATCACCTGCAAGATAACAGTAGAGTTAGTGAGTGAATATTGATCTACTCCATAGCCTGCTGTATCATGGCAGCCAGACATATTCCTGGTTGGCAGCACATCTACAGATAATACTGACACCAAATCTGCCACACCAACATGTACAGATATACTGACACCCAATCTGCCACACCAACATTGTGGCCAAGGCTAGTGGACTACACTATCGGCATGATGGGACCTATTTTGTTTAGGATCTTTGTGGCTTAAGTATCAATATGAAAACCATATTATTTGATGTTTCAGAGGCAGGTCCAAAAGCATCTACAATTAATTCATCACTTTTCAGTCGCCTAAAAATTCACACTTGTCCGCTAACCCAAAACATCTTATCTGTTGAGAACAAGCAAAAAATTTAATTTGAAAATAATCTACATTCATCCCTGCTTATTAAAACCTTCATCAATTCTATAAATCAAAGCAGTTTTGTGAAACCTATAATGTACTGCTATTCTAAAAAAAAGAAATTATAATTTTATTAATTCATAAATATGTTTTTGATTCAAATCTGTCCCATTTTGCCCTCAAGCACAGTAACACATACTACTCAAAGAAAATAAAGAACATATGGTTTTTCACATCTGTAGTTAATTTGTCAGTCATGTGAATAAATTTGATATTCATTAATTTCTCTACATAAGTTTACATTAATCAACAACATTACTAAAATAAGAGATAACAGCAACTTTGGTAAGGGCTACCATAATCTCCCAGAATTTGAATGCCATGTTTCTTGCAGCAAGTCTACTGCTACTGACTCCTAATCAACATGTCGTCATCAGTTTTCAGAAAACCAAAACCACTCAAGAAGGCTAAAAGATCCTTCAGGAGATTTCAATACAGCATTATCCAAAGCTCAAGTTTAGATTTAATTAACATTTACAACAATGTTTGCGTTACCACAGTCCACAATCACCAGCCTACATGGGCGTGCTGCCGATAGTCACACGTTGTTCATGTGCTGTCACTTAAGCCATTCTTTATATAACATTAATCAATAAACTAGCCCCGACGTCATACCTTCTCTCAGACACAACCAACTACATATCGTTAAGCCTCAATATTCCATTTAATTGCGCCTTTTCTAAATTATTTTAATAGTAAATCATATTAATTTTTCATGGTTCTTAAAAGTTTTAGATTGAATTTGTATGTATAATTATATAAGTTTACATAATTGTAATACAGACTTCATGCAGTCTCATGATTCAATTAATTGCTTGTCAACACAGCGAATATACACTGACTGCAGTTAACATAGCAACATTACATAGAATGGATAATAATGTTTTTTGGGGGGAAATGTTGGAAGTCAAAACAAGAAATGTTGACTGAAAAGTTCTCAGTAATGTCAGGTGATGAGACTTCAAAATAACAAGGTGTGAGAGAAATGGTGAATAGAAGCTACGTGCAGCAAGGCTCAAAGTTAGACTGTTTGATATAATCTACATAATCTTGTACAGGTATAAAACATGAAGATCAGGTCAGAACTGGTTTTAAGCAACTATTAGACACCTCCTTCTATTTGCTCATTTGTAAATTGGGATTAGATCATGTTTGGAGTACTCAAGGTGAGGAATATGTCCTTCATTTTCTCTCTGAATTCAAGCTGTGTTGCAAGGCATCAAGACAGACAGAATGCAATACCTGGTGGATCTAAAACATAAACATTTAGACAAAAATTATCTCAGTACTTGATAAATTCAGGAGAGCCCTGGGAAGTGTTCCTACAAGTTCTTATCATCTATGAATTGAAAAAGGGTAGGCATGCCCGATGACTCCAGTTCATATTGTTTTTGTTATGATTATTATTTTTAGTAGAAGCAGTAGCCTGGCTACAAAGAGGATGAATATCATTTAGTACCAGGCTGTTTATTAGAGAAAAGACATTGCCATGTAATAATGCCATTATTGGATAAATTTGACAACATTATTTATGTCACGTTAACAAGAAAGTATGGCATATTTATTAGTCTAATGTATACTACACAATGGGAGATGGGAGATATGTACTATCACACTGATCTTTCATGGTACCACGTTCACTGCATGCAGTCGACCATTTTACTGTATTTCAGTGAGTGAGTGAGTGAGTGAGTGAGTATAGTTTTACACCGCTTTTAGCAATATTCCAGCATATCATGGCAGGGGACACCAGAAATGGGCTTCACACATTATACCCATGTGGGGAATCGAACTCGGGTCCTCAGAGTGACAAGTGGACGCTTTAACCATACTCCACCACCCCTTATTGTATGTGAGGCAATGGACCACTCCATCTTGAACAATAGACAATTTTCTGTATGGTTCTGTTGATTTACCAAACGACACATTAAGAGGGACTCTCTAGACACGAAGAATAGGCTGGGCACACTGCAGCTGGGTGGAACCATTGTCATGGATGTAACCACTGTCTACTTCACCCCAGCTTACTGTCTTTACTGTTTACAAATACTTTCTTTTTTTTTTATTTTTTGAAAACTCAGTTGTTACTCTTAAAACAAACAAAATATATACTCTTGATTGGAACACCTTAATTTAAATTGAAGTCTCGGTGAGTCCTGGAGATTCAGACCCTCAGGAAAATCTAGACTTGCTTCATCCAGGTGTGTTGTATAGAAAGGGTTAGTTGGAAGGGAAATAGTTTGGTTCAGGGACTGTGAGACAGACTACTCTTACAACTACCAGTAGGCCTAAAACTATCAGTATACAATCCATAAAATAACTGGGGCGGTGGGATAGCCTAGTGGTTAAAGCATATGCTCATCATGCTGAAGACCCGGGTTCGATTCTCTAGATGGGTACAATGTGTGAAGCCCTCTTCTTGTGTCCCCTGCCATGATATTTCTGGAATATTGGTTGCTAAAACTGACATAAAACTGCATCCACTCACTCACTCCACAAAATAATATCAGAGTAGCAACATATATTCCATTATATTTCTTCAAAAGAAACTTGCTGGTTTATTCTGGTCAGACTATATATAATCAAAACTAAATAAATGATTCTGGTCCGTTGATTCGTAAATCTAATACATAAACCAGCATGGCCTGATGTGCTGTCTAACTGTTCAAGTCCGTTGCCCCCTATCTCACGTTGAGCTGTCACAGTTTAACTCTTCCTGTGTGTGTTGTCGTCTATTATTGATGTAGTACTGGGTGCCGTTGTACAAAACAACCTTAGAGCTAAGACTACCTTAAGTCTATGTTAAGGTATGGGAGTTACGGTCACCTTAACGCTCACAGGTACCGTGTGGAATTACACAACACAAAGAGTTCAAGCTTCATTGATCTCTGGGGAGATATAAAACTAGGATTGGTAGCCATAATTGTACACGGATGAACAGTCAAGGTTGCCTTAGAGTATACGAACTATTATACACCAGTTTTATTATGCATCAACATTGTTACACACTGTTAGGTGGGTTTATCACGTCATGGGTCATTGCTGAATATAAAATAATGAATCATATTTTTGTTTCAGATTTTCATCAATGCATGTATAATTAATAAACCTGCAAAATACTGGTATAACAGCAGAAAAACCTCATTTCGTTATTATTCCTTTGTAAATATAATATGGAATAAGTTTCACGAGGGGATGCAGCTTATTGGAAATGGAGCGAACATTGTGTGATTTGGCAATTCATGTTGACTCCATGTAGCGGATAAATGCAAAATGTGCACACTTGGTTTTTACATTAACAGCTCCTTAAATGCAAAAATATATTGAAGTCAATTTTTTTTACTAACCACTGACTCGCCAAAAACTGAAAGCAGTTACACAAATGAGACATTGTTAGTTTGGAAAACAAGACAAGGAAACCATGGTCTGTTAATGGGCATGGTCTAATATGTTTATAGTTATGGAGTTATAAACAAGACATACATTGCTTGGTTAGCTGATCAGCTGCCAGGGAATTCACTGCTGGCTATTTATTATACGCAACCCCCTGTTGATCTATCACATGGGAAAAGGTACAGGGTACTCCTCACAAAGGTCAAAGGTTGTAGCGACATACATTCCCAAGTCACTAATTGTTTCAGTGAGTCAGTCAGTCAGTCAGGTTTCAGGCTGGGTTGAACAATATCATAGTGGACACACCAGAAATTAACTTTACTTAGTCCCCAAGTGGGAAATTGAACCCAGGACTTGAGCATGACGAGCAACTGCTTTAACCACTAGGCCACCCCTCCAAAGAATACTCAACACATTGTAAAGTAACTCTGTGAGAAGCAATCAGTTTAATCTCTTGTCGCATGCACTAACCAAATAATAGCTCTTTTCCATGGATCAATGCCTTACGTCGATATGAAATGCACACCCAGGCTATCTATATTCTTGATCGACCAGCTGAGTGGATTATCCCAAGGCTCACTGGTGCTGACAAGACAATCACGGGACAGAATATTTGCAAGTTTAATGTACATGATTCAGGATAATTATTGATTGGGAATAAAAAAAATATATATTTGATTGGCTTGACTATTGTTATGTATTTGTACTGAACTTGTGAATATGTTTGCACAGTGTGTGGGATATTGATATTCTGTCTTGTCGATTACTGTGAGTGTCGGACAACAGTGCATGATGTTAACAATAGTACACACACTAGGTGTGGCTTGTCGTGTATATTTGTTTGGCAATTACCTGTACCATATATTCCTTAATGAACATTATCTAGTCCTACTTGTACAAGTACATCTACATTTTTTTTTTTAAATTTTAATATGGCCTACTATGTATTAAAATTCTCTCATAACCTTTTTATGGTGGCCAATGCATTTTATTAAGGAAGCATTATTTATGTAATTGTAAATGTGTTGGGTGAGAATACAATAAACAATTTCTCTCTCTCTCTCTCTCTCTCTCTCTCTCTCTCTCTCATAAATTAGATGGAACGTAGATTAGAAGTATGTACAGTTCAAGAAAAATCTTTTTGCAACTGTTTAAAGATACCAGTTATATTCTTTTTAACAAACATTCATTTCATTATGTGAAATCAATTAAAATGACATTAAAAAATTAAAAAAGACATATGAGGAAAAACATAATATTGGTGTATGAATAAAAAAAATATATTGTATGCAGCTTGCAAAATCTACATGATTAATTTGTTTTAAGGAATGATATTTAGATTACAGGTTCTTTAACAACTCTTATAATTTCTCATAGGGTGACTTAGATAAAAAAGAAAGCAAACATGTAAAAAAGGTATATTTCATATGCACATTGACTTTACAACGTAAATCATTACTTCCATCTTACTATATAGTTTATTCAAAGAGAATAATATTTATTTTTCACAGTGACTAATTAACATGACACATTTGTTGATGTTGTCCTTGGCTCAAAGAAAAAGAATATTTTTGAAATGTTGGCCATTCACATGGGACTTAATACCTCAGTCATTGTTATAACTCACAGTTATGAGTGAGTGAGTGAGTATAATTTTACACCACTTTCAGCAATTTCCAACCATCAATGTGGGGTTTAAAATATAGAAACATTACACTTTCAGGTAAAAAAACAATTATGTTGTGGAAAACATTGAAAATTTATAGAAAAAGAGGGACAGCTGTTAGTCTTTTAAATCTATAATCTTGCACCTTTCATGGAATCTTCTTATAAACATATTGGAACAGAGACCAACACTGCTCCATGCCCTATACTATGTGTCTTCAGTGACAGTAAGCTCAAAAGGTGTGACAAAGCATACAACCTTCTTGTTTATTGCATAAAGTTATATGCATAAAGTTGCATGCTTTATTACTGGCTCACCAACGTCTAGAATGCCAATCAAACAATCACAAGGCACCTGACCTCCTGGTGAGTCAGATATAGACAACATCACTGTTTCATAATCAGAATTGCTTTTACAGCAGCATTGTCCACTCATCTGTGATATCATTTATCTCTATATGCTTGTCACAGCCAACAAGTAGGATGTCAGATATAGGATTAGACCTGGATATTACTTCTGGTCACATGAGTGAGTGAGTTAATATTTAGCATCACATCGGCAATATTGCAGCCATATCGTGATGATGAACATGAGCTAAGATTTGTAGACACAAGGATTGGAAGAGAAACAAGTATATATCAACATTGATTGAATCATTGAGTGGGTGTGTGGGTGAGTGAGTGAGTTAATATTTAGCGTCACATCGGCAATATTGCAGCCATGTCATGATGATGAACATGAGCTAAGATTTGTAGACACAAGGACTGGAAGAGAAACAAGTATATATCAACATTGATTGAATCATTGAGTGGGTGGGTGTGTGAGTGAGTGAGTGAGTGAGTGAGTGAGTGAGTGAGTGAGTGAGTGAGTGTTTTACACCTAAGTTCCTCACTACAATCAAATGATCCAGATGACCTTGTGAATCCAGTAATCAAGGTAATGGATGCGGTTTGATCATCCAATCTCCGTAATACTGTTTTGTTACCAAGTTGCGTGTTTCCAAGCAAAGTTCATCTGTTGATTTGACTCCTGAACTCTCAGCTTTGTGTAATTAAGGGAGTGCTGTGGCGGTTTACTTATAAGACTGACCTATCACGACAGCACATGATGCAGTTTCTGTAGGAATGGACTGACTGACACAGGCAGTGGGAGTCCACCTTCAAAATGCCACAACCACAGCACTCATATGTGACACCACAGAGGGTTCTGTGTTATTTTATCATATTTTGTTTGAAATATGAAAAAAACAAATTTCAACCTTCATTTCATGATTTTAAAAATATATAAGGCTGGGTATCTGATCTCCAAATATTTATAATCACACCCATTTCGAAGTTTGAAATTATTTTATCATAATTTATTAAAATAATTTCTTACTTCTTAATAATTGTATCATTTTAGTTTTAAAAAATAATAAAGTTTAACCAATTTTAGGTTGCATTTTCTTATTTATTAAGAATGACAGTGATGAAAAGTAATAAATATAATTGTTACATGTATATATTTCAAACTCTCTTTAATAACCATCAGGTGACAAGAAAGAGACTAATTTCATCATATTGTGCCTAAATTATCAATATATTTGCAAACATTTGAACCATAAAATGAACATTTACAAATTATTGACCATAACATTTGCATTGTCATTCAATATAGCGTATTACATTATGGTGTCAAACCTTCTAATATATCTGTTGGAACAATCTGTAAACTATATGTAATACATGAAACAAATATATGGCTTACATGTTTTCAATCATATTTCTCGTGTTTACAATATACATATTACATTCATATTTAATGAATTTTTCAATACCCTTGACTTCAGTGTGTTATAAAATAACATGGCCTGAAATTGATGAAACAATGTTCGTAACTGTTCCTAATTTTCTTGACTTTTAAACTTATGAAATAGGTATGACACATAATTGAAAACATTTAATTTGTTACATTCTTTCCAATAGTGTACATTTTCACTTTTTGAGATTAACTTTCATAGTTCTTTTAAGATTTTTAAAATTTTTGATTAAAATATCTTACCTCTCTCCATCCCAAATCATGAATACATCTTCGTACGACATCAATATTAGACCGTGCTTTGGAAGTATCCACTGTCACGTGTCCCCGGTATATAGGTTTCAACTCCGGGGGTGGGCGGACGGCGGGTGGTACCACCAGCGTGGTAGATGTATTACCGTTAGGGTTACGACGGTCCTCCCTGGGCTGTCGGCTGTCATCCTTACGGTGGCGACTGTCGTCCCGGGGTAGGCGCGTATCATCCTTACGGTGGCGACTGTCATCCCGGGGGTGGCGGCCGTCGTGACTATCAACTTTCTGATCCCCCGAACTTTTGTCTTGTCTCAGTCTCGTGTCTCTGTCCTCTCTCTGTCGGGTGTCATTCTTTTGACTCTCTTCTCTGTACAATGCCTCACGTCGTCTCAGTTCTCTCTCTTCTCGATGTCTCATTTCGACGTCCTCTCTGTATCTCTTCTCTCTGTCCTCGCGATGTCTTATATCAGATTCTTCGCGGAACTTCTTCTCGTCTCGCTGTTTCGCTTCATTCGCTAACCTCTCCCGTCGCAGCAGTGCCGCTCTCTTCAAAGCCAAGTCCCGTCGACTGTGATCTTGGGGCTTGCTATATGGGCTGTTTTCCAGCCTATTTTCCAACGGGGCACTCATGTTTCAATTTCTGCCATATCTGATTACATTGTTAAGAGGCACATTTTGTTTCAGATAAACGGGCACCTGTCAAGGCCCCGATATTGGCGATAGCGGCACTGAAAAATCACTCCCGCGAATACAAGTCCAGTACACAGTGAAATTGTTTGCGTAATCTATGTGTTTGTATATATCATGTCACTATGCCGCACTGGATCATACCCCTCCACCCGAAATAGCTTTTGACGGCCGCGCCATAGAATCCATTGTTATTCATTAATCATTCACATAGGGGAAGCTCCCGACATTTTGTGTACTTGCGTCCATGGCAACAACCCCTCCCGCCCCGCCGTGCTTGATTGGAATACGTAGAGCCGTGGCCAGCACTGGTCGATAGCCGCTATTGTAACTACTGTATCTAAACAGATATAAACAGTCTTTGTCGATGTAAATATTCTTCTCGGCTTCTGTGATTAAAAGTTTCTGAAAGAGTTTGAAAATGTGTTTGAGTCGCACGTAAAAGGTGCTTGATTCGCTCGACTGATTTAATTCCGATTTGAACCTCATGTGGTGTTTCATGGGTACTTGGTAATCGTACTCTTGGCTTCTATCTTATTAACATAAGTTTAGAGGTTATAATATAAGGCTAACGGTAATATTTGAATAATAGTTAAATAATCATACTAAGGAGGACAAGTTTTTCAAAATACGTCATGAAAGCTTCTAAATGCCATACAGGTTTTATTGTGAAAATATACAGCCCCGTGCCAGATATATCCGGACACCTGACGTAATTTCCATAGATTTACATGTTATTTCAGTGTAGCATAAATCATTTTCATGAAGTGAGTTTAGGATGGATCTTTGTAAAATTTGACAGGCAAATGTGTAATCATCTCTGATCTGCGCACATAACTTCAGTTCAGTTTTCCGACCACTATTTAACTAATGACATCACATTTATCAACTTACGTATGGTTCCACAATGCACAATCCCATAGGCCACCATGTTAAAGAAGTTCTTGGTACTGTACATATGTTGATTAACTTGTTGCCATTCGATAAATAAGCAACAGAAAATTAAACAGAAATTATGTGATTGTAGGTAAGATGATTCCTCACATATGTGAAAAATTTGACTTGGATCTTACAAAAATTAAATTCATGAAAATTATTTATGCCACACTAAATTAACATGTAAGTCTATGGAAATTACGTCACGTGTCCGAATATAACTGGCACGGGTATGTATATTATAATTATAATATATTAGTATGATATAAAAATAATGCTATATCATGAACATAAGGAAATTATTTTAAGAAGACTGTATCGTTGATTGGAACCATTAATTAAATTATTGCCCATCCAAGATAATCCAGGCCTCCACAAAGCGATCGTAACTCAACTACGGTCGTAGAACTACCTTCATTTTGTGGAGAGGAGCCCTAGATGATATAGACAGACCATGATATACTGAATGGTTCCTCACAATGCTACATGTTCTTAGGATAATTGTGTATTATTAATTCGTACATTAATAACAATATTGGCTAAGTTCAAGATTGGCAATAATCCATCGACGATTCGCGTACGTGCAATTATTCTCCGTTTAAGTGTTAATTATTTATGGAAACCCAATGAAAATGTGATCTTCTCCCTTTCATCAATGGATAATAATAACCAATTTCTGAAGAGTAACTTGCGACTGGCTGTTGAATGTGGTATTCAAGACCCCGATATAGAGAATGCCTCTGTTTATTCTGTCATGCTGGATACCTCGATTGTATCAAGGATGAACTGCATGTATTATTGACATGTGACAAGTATGGTGGCTCATTGCCATAGACAAGTATCCCCACCCGAGAAGAGAATGTCTCCCATCATCTCATCAATCCAACAACGGAAACCTTTGTAAGCCTGAAGTCGGTCGACAAGATCCATATTACAAAATGTTTGACTAGTTTCCTTTGCCAAGTCCTCCAAGAAGAGAATTGATATACATTTTACCTAAACTCCTTTGGCACTATCATCCATGATGCGAAGTAACACATTATTGCTGTAACATAAAGAATATTTTGCGCCTTCCACTGATCGTATTTCCTCTAATAAGCGCCGGTCTCTAATAGGCACCTGGTCTCTAATAAGCGCCTGGTCTCTAACAAGCACCGGGTCTCTAATAAGCGCCGGGGTAAAGCACTAACAATTACGGTTATTACACCCAGTAAGCGCATAAGAGCCGGGCCGCTAATAAGCGCCGGGTCTGGAAGTCCGTTGAAAAAATAAGCATCCGGGCGCTTATTACAGGAAATACGGTATTCAGCATGTATGCGCGCTTAACCATATTGTCCATGGTGTATGTATCATGAGCCAAAGGCCTAAAGTAAGGAATAAATTATGCCTGCCTATCTCTCTTCGTCAAAACATAGTGGTAAACGTATGTTGTGAACGTCTGAGACCTGCACCACTTCGGGCCTCCTGGTCCAGACTCGATTATTTTCAGATCGCCGCCATATATTGCTGCCCAGCTAACAATTTCACGTTGTTACAACGTTATGTTTTCGTTGTTACAACGTTATTCTGTGGACTCCCATTTACGTTGTCACAGCGGTGTGGCCTGACGTTGTTATACGTCATTTTTACGTCGCCACAAGGTTAAGTTATTTGATGCTAATGTATTTTACGTTGTGTTAATGTTCTATTTAACGTTAATAGTTGAACAGTTTTCCCTGTAGTGAACAGTACACATGAAACAAAACAGAAATTCACTTCAATGTTTATTCGTCAATTTGCATGTTGTTTTGGTAGTGTGCTGTAGCTGAATAGTGAAGAAAGAATCTCAAAGTGAATCGTTTTACAGAAAACTCTATCGTGACACCAAGTTATAAGAAACGTTGTTAGAACGTTGTGAGGAGCCAAAAGCATAACGTTTCCTCAACGTATATTTGCAACGCTGTGACATAACGTTATAAAATGACGTTATTTTATGACTTTACCAATCTACATCCTCCCCACAACGTTGCGAAAACGTTGTGCGTTAGCTGGGTGAATATTGCTGAGTATGGCGTTAAACAACAAACACATCCCTCCCATGTTACGCTGACACGCTGTGATATTAATGGAATAACGTTCCAAGCGGCGTTCAAACGCAACGTAATATTACGCTACGTTGTTGACACATTTTACACAGTGTAGAATGTTGAGATCTCACTGTGTCAATAAAATTACAAACTTGATTATACAGTATACTATAGCTGAGCGTCTTAAAGAAGTCAGTGTTTTAAAACCATTCTCATATCACCAGAATGTCATCTCCAGCCTGGTTCCCAGGGTATGCGTGGCGCTTTAGGCGGTGTCATCTCACGATCGTGACAAAACCACAATTACCTGGAAGCGCTCGTAATATGTGTAATATGATAGCCATCGACCAAAAGGCAACATGATGACTTGAGGGTGACTGGTTCTGGCGATCCGGAGACTGTTGAAGCGTCGGCCTTGATTATCACCTCCTTGGTCTGATGGGTAGAGCGTTTGTCCGGAGAGCGGAAGATTAGTGTTCGATCCCATGAACGCGTCACACAAAATGCTTTGAACTGTGGTCTTTGTTGTTGCGCAGGCTATCTCGGCAATAGGGGAATAAAACACGGATTGGTTGTTTCTAAGTCAATACACTGTATCTGAGGGGGTGGGGGTATGTGTGTGGTGTGTGTGTGTGTGTGTGTGTGTGTGTGTGCATCCATGTTAAACTGTTATATGGTATCTCAGTATGTCAGTTTAATACAACCGAATTCCTAACAACTACAAATAGCCACCATGGAGCACTGGGTTATGGGTTATACGTTTGGTTTCAGTAGGGTAAACACTTGTCAGTAGGGTACACAAAGTAAGTTATCTGGACACCAATTGTTTGATCGGCATTCTAGAAGTTGGTTAGCCAGTTATGAAGCATACAACTATATACATAACAACTTCTTGTTTATTGCACTTTTAGCTTGGTAATGGAGAGTGAATCTACATCGTTGAAGAAGTTGTTGTCCAGAAAGCTGTATGCTTCATTGTGGATGAGTACCAATTGTCATACTTCCATTTTTGAGGAAGCTGCGTTGGCTGAGTGGGTTAGATCGCTAACTTTGTGTACTGGCGTGCTAGGAGCCCTACTCTGAGAGTGTGGGTTCGAATCCCGGATGGGACTCAACTCAGAAAAACTACAAGAACCTGTACTTTACTGAGAAGGTGAAATCCCAAAATATTACATACGTTAGGAATAAAAAATGCCGATGCAATGTTGAACTTCATTCACAAGTTATACGTTTCATAATTTCATTTATATCGCTGTCAATTTCATTTCAGATGTGATACAATCAATACAAGTCGTTAGACCAAAAAGGTAGACCGACAAATACTCTTACGAATTTTATAGCACAACAGTTGTAGTCGTTTCATTTTTGTTCACATGCAGTGTTTCGCGTGGAATTTAGCTAGATCTGCCTGACAAATACTCTTACGAAATTTGTATAACATTTTTGAGAATGCGCTCCTAACAGTGTAATGTTAATGAAGAATCCCAGTAAGGAGTATTAACTTAGTCGTGAACGAGTTGCCTCCCTTTGAGAATGTAAACAACAATGGCGGCGTTTTTAAATAAGCCGAGTGATTTCTTCAAACCAAATGCACCAAGTATGTTTTCAATCGATCCAAACGTCGACAATAATTATATATCTATCCATTTTCATTATTAGTTTGCTTTACATGACGTTTATATCTGATTATGTACAGTTTTCACATGTTTGTAAAACTGACATGTTGAGGCTTGTGCTCATCTGCACATGCTTATAAATTCGTGATGACAACATTCATCGTTTTTACTTTCATTACATTCCAAACATTCCACGTGGCAGATCAAATGAGCACTATGTCATCTGTGTTCATTCTGTAATGTCAAATCCAAGGAAACGTGTCATTTAACGATGTGTACTGGGTGTTTGTACGTGTTGGCAGATGACTGATGTTCCTTGGAGGCTAGGTTCATTTGGAGACTCTCTAGGCAGTTCTTGAGTCATTTCATTTAAATATAGTACTTGAATTGGTAATACTGCATTTCACCGGTAAAGTTTTAGGATTGCAATTAGTGCCACACACAGGATCAAGTGATTACAGCACAGCGATATCCAATAAACTGACACTACACCATAGGTCCAAATTACTTATTATTATTCAATGATCATATTGACTGTGTGCTTTTATGGACATGTTCAGGAAACATGTTCTTCACAAAACTTGATAAATTTTGCAAGGACCTTCTCGTCAAATTAGGGGCGGTAGGGTAGCCTAGTGGTTAAAGCTTTCGCTCGTCACGCTGAACACCCGGGTTAGATTCCCCACATGGGCACATTTCTGGTGTCTCCCGCCGTGATATTGCTGGAATATTGCTGAAAGCGGCGTAAAACCAAACTCACTCACTCACTCATTCTCGTCAAATTACATCAGATTAATCTGTTAAACAAGGTGAGACAGCGACCTTGTACCATGATACTTTGATGATACTGTCTCTGCAGACACAAACCCTCTGGAGTTGATGCCACCAAGTGTGTTTGAGAGCAGCAGCCAGAAGAGGAGTGCTAAGACCCAGGATGACACATGGAAAGATGTTGCTTGTGCCAAAGAGGAGATCATCAAACTCAAACAAGAAATTGAAAACTTGAGGTACGTCACATGAATATCTTGTGTTTGGTTTAAACACATCCAAGACCTGCACCATATCAAGCTTTCCATCCACATCAAGTTGACATAGCGTAACCATTCCCAACTGTACTTTAAACCAAACTCACTCAGTTTTATCACACTCACAGAGTGACCTTTTAAGGAAACCATAAAGGTTATGCTTTGAACTGAAATTCAAAACTGATTGTGAATGCAGGGGCGTAGGAACGGTTTTCAGAGCGGGGGGGGGGGCTAATTTATGAAAAGTATTGAAAATCAAAATGAAATTGTAGTTATGGTAAAGTAGATATGGTTTCGTCTTGAAAAAAGTGTGTGTGTGTGTGTATGGGGGGGTTCTGCCCAAGCCCACCCTGTTCCTATGCCCCTGGAATGCTAATTTTGTCTTGCATATTTTTGCAGAATTGAAAGGCAGAGGTCTGCTGCAGTGCCAGAGGTAAGCAGATTATTGTATAAAAGCATACAAATGCAGTTTCAATGTCTGACAGTTCCTGCAGGAAGGTGGTGAGGTGACATTTTTTAAGAAGATAATCTATTCTTAGATTTAACACAAGTATATAGGGGCACCAATTTTATGCCACATAGCATGGTAAATGCTCTACATTATTAAATTATGGATCTGTGTACTGTCAAATGTCATTCTCAACTCCCTGGGAAGTATACAACCCAAACTGCCCAACCCAAAAGAACAAGGTATCATATTACTATCTCATCTCATCCTCATTCACTGCTGGGCGAAAAGAGGAATATATAGGAAGTTATTTGCAGAAGGAGACACCAAATGTAGTGAGTTTCAGAATTTCGAAGGACCAAAGCTTTTTTATATTTTTATCAAGTCATATTGAGGTATCTGATAGCAAATGTTATATAAGTGAAATTCCCCATTTGACTTGTAGTATGTATTCCCTCCTATGTTGTTCAGCTCCTACTTCACCATGTTTTGAGAGAAAAGTATGAAAATGTTGTTGTATACACTTTGAAAATCTAATGTACAGCCAGCAGTGAATGGTTACCCAGTATGATGAGACAGTTATGTGACTGTCAACCTTCAAGGTCTTCACAGACTGCATGGGTTGTATACTCCCTGGGTGAAATCCAGCATGCGGAAACACTACTACTGCTACTAGTCGTCTACTACTACTACTACTACTACTACTACTGGTCTACTACGACTATTGACATTATTGTTTTCATTATTTCAGACACAAGCACCTAAGGTGCACATATTACATCAGCCATCAGCTAAAGAAGAAACTAAATACGCTGATGAACTTATCAGTCGGCAGTCCCGGGAGATTGAGAATCTGAAGAGTGAGATACGATCTCTCCAACATGAGCACAAGGAGAACATGTCGGACATGGACAGACAGATGGCACTACAAGAGCGGGAGGCCAATCACCGAGTGTCGGGGCTGGAGATTGCCATGCGTGAGAGTGAGGAGAGATATGAGCAACAGGTACCTCTTTGTACTTATTCCCATTTAATAAGGCCTTAAAACAAACTAATGGTTGTCATTGGAAGTTTGTTTTGTCTTAGTTATTTATGTTAGGTACAACTAACACATTACCTTAACTGCTTGGATACAACAGGTTCCATAGAGAGTCATCTTTTTGGTGCAAACAAAAAGAATGCAAATCCATGATCGAAAAACCCTATTGTTTATGAATGACAATAATTCTTCCACGATTTTTATGTAACACTTTATCACACCTGAGTAGCACCTGAGTGGGCATGTCATGGTGTTTTAATTAATTAGGGTCAATCATTTCACAGTGAAATGAACCCTTCTTTCACACATTACATCTGACAATTAAACCACCAGCAGACTTGTATAATGAACTGCCTTTTATCTCGCGACCAACCATTTAAGACTGTAACTTCCTGACCTCTAGGTGGACCGACTGAGTCATCAGCATCAGAAGGAGGTGGATGACATCAACTCGGCTCTGGACAATACCACCAGGGAACTATCTGAAACTAAGTCTCAGTATGTGGCTCGGCTGCGTGGTCTGGAGTCTGAGATTGAATCTCTCAGATCAGAGTCTGAAACCACCATAGCTCAACTAGAGGCAGAAGTCAGGTTAGTGTGGAGATATTGAGCCTTCTAGCACTTGGCAAGTGTAAGAGTAGTGTGGAGCCATTGAGTCTTCTAGCACTTGGCAAGTGTAAGAGTAGTGTGGAGCCATTGAGTCTTCTAGCACTTGGCAAGTGTAAGAGTAGTGTGGAGCCATTGAGTCTTCTAGCACTTGGCAAGTGTAAGAGTAGTGTGGAGCCATTGAGTCTTCTAGCACTTGGCAAGTGTAAGAGTAGTGTGGAGCCATTGAGTCTTCTAGCACTTGGCAAGTGTAAGAGTAGTGTGGAGCCATTGAGTCTTCTAGCACTTGGCAAGTGTAAGAGTAGTGTGGAGCCATTGAGTCTTCTAGCACTTGGCAAGTGTAAGAGTAGTGTGGAGCCATTGAGTCTTCTAGCACTTGGCAAGTGTAAGAGTAGTGTGGAGCCATTGAGCCATAAAGATGATTAGGATGATGATGACAACAATGGTGATGCTGTTGTTCCTCAGATCAAAGACCATGCTTGCTGACAATCAGAGTCAGCAAATCTCACAGCTGAAAACCTACATTGGGGAGACAGAGAAGACGTACCAACCAGCAGAGGTGTGGAGGAGAGAGAGGCAGACGCTCAATAACAGAATCAAGGTCAGTCACATTTTGTGTTGTGGTGGACTGTTGCGCAATACAAAATGTCTCATAATCTAAATAACAGTTTGTTTCTTCTTTGAGCATATTATCATTATTAAACATATATTAGATCTAAATATTTTGGTCACATTACAATTAGCCTTCACCCACCATCAGGGAACACCTGTAACCTTAAGATTCAAGCTGCAGTTTACTGTTCAGAGTTACATCCCTTTTGTTTGACAGGATCAGCTGGGTTCCAAATCTCAGGTGTGCACCAATTATTATCTTACGCTTTGCATATTCTCAGTGTCATGTCTTGGTCGTTGTTTCCATTTTCCCACTGTCAGGTCAAGGTTATCATTTCCATGTCCATTTGTCATGTTGTCAAGGTAACTTCCCATTTCTTCCCATGTGTAGGCCATTGTTTCCAAGTTGTCACCACCTTGATGTCTGTTGTGTGTTTCAGATTTATGCTGCTGAGAAGGAAAATCTGGAATCCAACATGGAACTGGTCAACATCCGACTCAAGTCAATGTCTGAGATCCTAAACGTACAGGAAACGGAACTGTCCAAGGTTTGTAAACTTGTTAGTAGCTCGACAATTTATGTAACATATAAAGTGGCTTCTATCATTATTAAAATTAATTTACATGAATTTGAACAATAAATATAAGTAGTGAGGTATGTGTCTATGTATCATAGCAACTAAGTTCAGTAAACACCATGTTTTTGTTGCCATTTTGCAAAATATTCATGCTTACTGACCAATATATTTGTATTGATGCCTACGGTATTTTGGGATAGAACTGGTCTACAATGGGGATTCTGGATTATAATTGGTCTTCAGTGGGGAATTTGGGGGTCCCAGAATCCCAACTAAAGACCAATTGTATCCCAGAATCCCCAGTGAAGATCAGTTCTTGAGTGGAGATTTGAGGATAGAATTGGTCTTCCAAGGGGATTCTGCGATAGAACTGGTCTTTGATGGGGATTCTGTGGTAGAATTGGTCTTCAATGGGGATTCTGGGATTGAACTGGTCTTCAATGGGGATTCTGCAAAACAACTTGTCTTCAGTGGGGATTCTGGGATAGAACTGGTCTTCGATGGGGATTCTGTGGTAGAATTGGTCTTCAGTGGGGATTCTGGGATAGAACCAGTCTTCAGTGGGGATTCTGGGATAGGTCTGGTCTTCAGTGTGGGATTCTGGGATAGGTCTTTGATGGTGATTCTGGGATAGAACCGGTCTTCAGTGGTGATTCTCTGATAGTTATGGTCTTCAGTGGTGATTCTGGGATATAACTGGTCTTCAGTGAGGATTCTGGAAAATAACTGGTCTTCAGTGGTGATTTTCTGTAAGTTCTGGTCTTCAATGGTGATTCTGGGATATAACTGGTCTTCAATGGAGATTCTGGGATATAACTGGTCTTCAATGGGGATTCTGGAAAAGAACTGGTCTTCAATGGTGATTCTGGGATATAACGGGTCTTCAGTGGGGATTCTGTAAAATAACTGGTCTTCAATGGGGATTCTGGGATTGAACTGGTCTTCAATGGAGATTCTGAAAACAACTGGTCTTCAATGGGGATTCTGGGATAGAACTGGTCTTAAATGGGGATTCTCTGATAGTTCTGGGCTTCGATGGGGGTTCTGGGATAGAACTGGTCTTCAGTGGGGATTCTGGAAAATAACTGGTCTTCAATGGGGATTCTGGGATTGAACTGGTCTTCAATGGGGATTCTGGGATTGAACTGGTCTTCAATGGAGATTCTGAAAACAACTGGTCTTCAATGAGGATTCTGGGATAGAACTGGTCTTCAGTGGTGATTCTGGGATAGAACTGGTCTTCAAAGGGGATTCTCTGATAGTTCTGGTCTTCAGTGGGGATTCTGGGATAGAACTTGTCTTCAATGGTGATTCTGGGATAGAACTGGTCTTCAGTGGGGATTCTGGAAAACAACTTGTCTTCAATGGTGATTGTGGAAAACAACTGGTCTTCAGTGAGGATTTAGGGTTAGAATTGACCAACCTGTGCTTATTGTTGAAATTGGTTGTGTGATCAGGTTGGTATTGCTAACTGTGATTCATGTGGTATAGATGCACACTTGCATGTGGTGCATATTCACTAAAGAGGTATCTTTAGCCAGCTATCTGCCATCCTGTATTAAAATTTGTTCATCCAGGAAAGCCCAGCTAATAACATTTAATGTAAGTAACACTAGCGTTTTCCAGACAAGTCTGCTAAGTGAGAGGTTTATGTTGTGTATATTTGTTCTACAGGCCAAGAGTGACAATATTTCCAGCAGTAAGCAGGAAGGTTTGCTCCTTACAAGGTAGGAGTATGATGATTCCGTCTTTATGATTAACAAGATTTTATTATCCCCCGCCGCGCGTTTAGAGCGAAGTGGGGAATATAGTATTAGGCTCCGTCCGTCCGTTTGTACGTACGTACGAATTGGAATATCTTAAGTACCGGTGACTGGATTCTTTTCATATATAGTACCTAGGTTCATCACTGTAAAAAAAGGTCCCAGTCAGGTTTGGTGACCTTGACCTTCCTTTCAAGGTCACAAGGGGACTTTAACGTTTTCATATTCAACACCAAGCTTTATCTAGGGAAGGTGCAGGGCCCAGTCGATTTTGGTGACCTTCACCTAATTTTCAAGGTCATGCGACACTCTGAAGATTTCAGCATGTTAACCTGCATGTAAAGATTGTCAGCGAGATATCTCAAGAACAGTTCACTGGATTTTCTTCATAGACTTTCAAGACTTCCCTTGAATGTTTTTCAATAAGCAATTTCTTTATTACTATTTTTGCAGTTGTTTTCACATTATACATGCTCTTCCTTTCCCCAAATGCAGTATGTATTATACTGATGGATATTTCTAGGTGGAGGGAACAGGTGTTCAAACTTTTGGTTCAGCAGAAATCTGAAGATATCGTAGCTAAGAAGAATGAACAGAACTGGAGCGAAAAGGTGAGATATTTGTATGGAGTGTGGATTGTATGGATTTTTGTAACAATTTCAGTGTGTTTGATACCTGCAAGCTAGGGGTCTGGCCTCACAATGAAGCAAAAGAACAAATGTGATATAATATTAGGGTTTGGCGTTTGAACAGTTCAAAGTTGTCAAGACTCAAACCAGCATTTTTTATGCATAATCTGGATATTTATTCTTCCTCATAGCACCTGAGGTCAGTACTTGACGGGTCTGTATTCTCTATGTGTCTTCATCACCAGCGTGTGTGTGTGTGTCGCGTAGATGCGCGCGCGCATAAGGCGTCGTCGTATGCGTCGCGTCGCGTCGCGTGCGTCGCGTCGCATGTGTGTGTGTGTGTGAGACTCACTTTACAGTAAAGTCTTGAGGGAAGGGAAAATATGGTTGAGGATCTGTGTGATGGACTGCAACTGGAAATACTCTGTGCGTGAACTTTTTTGATCAGATGGCTTCACGACTGTGGCACATGTTGTACAATAAAGATTGTGAGTCTTGTAATATGATCATTAATTGGTCTAGGTACTTGCCTGTTTCACTTTTCCTGGAGCCAGGCATGGTCTAGATGTGTTGTCAGGAATACGCTACAAGGAGATGCTGATAGCAACATGGCACATCATTCCCTGACTAGTTTCTCTGTGTTGTCTCCCCTTTCTTATGCCGCCATGTTGTGAAATATTATTCCAAGTAACGCATATCTTGACACACACACTATCCAGGTTAAGGACTTGGAGGAGGAGCTTGCATCGTGTGGGAGTCGGATCCAGGTTCTCAGTCACTCTCTGTTAGAGAAGAACGCCCAGCTGCAGATAGAACAGAACAACTGTCAGGTAGTGGAACATCTCCTCTTGTGAGGCACCAACATGGCCACTTGTAGCAACTGTAGTGGTGGGACTCTACGACATGAATGAGTTCAGTATCTAGATTCGCCCAGAGGATGACAGTTTAGGCCCAAACATTTAGCAAGTATCAGTGAAAATTCCTGAATTAGAATGAAAACTAATGTAATTATTTGTATTTCAATGACACGAGAGCCAGCAGACAAGATGAGGGCCCCATGAATTGGTCTTCAGTCACCAATATTTGTTGAAAGAGGTGTCAAATGGGATCGGGTAGTGAGGTGTCAAACTTGGTTCATGAATGTCTGATTTGATCGTTTATAACTTTGATTACTTTTAGACAGCTGCCATATATAGCGACATCAAACAACAAACAAGCTAACATAAAGGCCCCCTAATCTTGCAGTACACGTAATCGCCAGGTTTCACCAAGAGATTGTAGCACTGTGACTGTCCCGTTTAACCAAATCTGTAAGAGCATCATGTATGTCACATATTGTCCCAGCTAGTTTTGTCGTAGAATTTCAAATATCTGATTATCAGCATGTTTACATGACGCACCACAACCATTTATTGCTGGAGTATTACTGGGCAAACATGTTGTTTGTGTCTTAGTGATTGTAGATGTTGTTCTCTGTAGATGACGGAAATACATTTGTTTATTTACCTGTCTGTCATGAATAGGGTCAGGCTTTCATCCACAACTGATGTTGGCAATATGATGCATCAGTTCATTGAAGTCACAGGGTGGTGGGGTAGCCTAGTGGTTAAGGCGTTCGCTCGTCACGCCGAAGACCCGGGTTTCGATTCCCCACATGGGTACAATGTGTTAAGCCCTTTTCTGGTGTCCCCCGCCGTGATATTGCTGGAATATTGCTAAAAGCGGCGTAAAACCAAACTCACTCACTCACTCACTCATTGAAGTCACACAGACACAGGATAAAATGATTCATATTGTTTGTGAATGTACAGAATTTGGTATCATCCTTGTCTTGGCTCCATCATGCTGTTTGCCACAAACTTCTGTGATATATCACAATAATGCCATTTTGTGTTGCATTATATCGCCACTAAACTTAATCAGTATGCTCATTCACTGCTTCTTGCAAATAGAGATACCAAGAGGAGATAACTCAAGCCCAGCAGGTGGCTCTGTGTCTCGATGACCACCTGTCACAGAATAGAACCAGTGCTGAGAGTCTGCAACAGTTGGCACAGAGGTACCATCCACTTTCTTCCTTCAGTTCCTTCCCACTGACTTGGTGCACTGTCTCCACTCAGTCTCATGTTATCTTTTTCTTTTAGAAGCATTTGCAAAAAATAGCATCAACAGGAGATGGTTTGAAGACATGAAACTTTTATCGATAACTTCTAAATGATTATTAAAGACTGTAGCAGATGTTTTCATTTTTCAAAGAGCAACTGCTTTTCATGAACAGTCATTACAACAAGGGGCGGTGGGGTAGCCTAGTGGTTAAAGCGTTCGCTCGTCACGCCGAAGACCCGGGTTCGATTCCCAACATGGGTACAATGTGTGAAGCCCATTTCTGGTGTCCCCCGCCGTGATATTGCTGGAATATTGCTAAAAAGCGGCGTAAAACCATACTCACTCACTCATTATAACAACCAGGGGTGGAAATAACTTTAAAATTGCTAGTGTACTCCGGTACAGTGGCACATGTAAAATCACTTGCCCTGATAATTTTTCCACTATACCGTCTGTTTTCTTGTTGATTTTTTAAATAAACAACATAATTAACATTGGAATATCAACTGGACACCGGTACAGTGTGATAAACAAATTTGCTTGCCCAACAGAAAAAAACACTGGACTCGGGCGTCGGGTAATGGGTTATTTCCACCCCTGACAACTCTGACAAAGATTTATAAAATGTCATAACAATAACCGTCAGATTTGGTAATGATGTGGTATAATGTCTTATCTAAGAAATTCAAGTGCATGTTGTATCATTTGCCTTCAGCCTCAAACCAGTGCACTTTTCCATGTAAGAGTTGTCCCCTTCCTCTGTTTCAAGTGTTAGTGGTCAGTTTGAGGAGAAGCTGAAGGTGCTCCAAGACATGATGGGGACACTCCAGACACACGGACAGAGGATCAGCTTTGCTGGACACAGGGTCCAGATGTTGCAAGGTAACCATGGAAACCAAATTATCACGTGACCTCTTTTGAACTCTGCAGCATCGAAGTATGAAACTGGGTGTTCGGCCATAATAACCATAATTAATGGAATCCATTGGTGCTTTAGTAAATAATATAAATATGCAGCATTGTTTCCTGTGTGTGAAGATCTGCTGATTGGGTTGGGAATCAAGGATTGTCCACAGTCTGTATACATTATTTGTTTTATTTTCTTCATAAGTGAACTTGGTAGAATACTATAAAGAGTTGGTATCTTTAATCATTTGTAATCATTTGTGTTTCCATGGTACAGTACTGGTTGTTGATCCAAATCATGTCTAAGCAAAATGTCAGTATGTTTTGTCTAACACTTTCAAGGTCAGTTTGCAAGGAAAGAAGCATTGCTACGGTTACAGTCCAAGAGCCAGGATGTGGACCAGGAGGCAGAGACTCGGACAAGTCCACGGTAGGTACACTAGACTCAGTGATGACACAGCCTCTGACAGTTGGAATGACTTCCAAGTAGAAGTAGGAGGAGACTGCCTGGATAGCTCAAGCGTGGTTAATATTTTCAGGGATGTTTCATGGTGTTTTATAGACTTTGTACTCAGCATTGAGAGGATGAAATGAAGAGTGGCCAACTTGTAGCTGATATATTGTAACTGAGTAGGCTAAACTGGATCTACTGAGGGTAGCTGAGAACCCTCAGTGTACTGTGATAGCCAAATCTTAGAGAAGGAATACACTTGTAGCTGTGAGCTTCCTATCATAATTGGGTTTTACTTCATTACCACCTTACCACCATACATTTCCTTGACTGTAAACCCTTAATCACATCAGATGTCATGAAGCTCAGAAACAACAGGGTACAAAGAATGCCCGCAACACATACAGCTTTCTTTTTTTCCATTCAGAACTGGCTGTATGTGTTCTGATCAACACAACCTGCTATGAAGGGGTTGCCAGACGTTTTTGCAGAAAGGTATCATATTGTAGTAGAAGATCTGGTAAAGTGATTGTAGCAGTAATTAGCTTCTGATTCTCTGTGCATCTTCCCAGGGCCGATACCAGTCATCTGAGCCAGGAGCTGGAGAAGGTGATTGGTGAGAGGAACCTGCTTGCCAGCCAGATCCAGCAGGATGCGGAACTACTCTCCCACAAACTGGACACGGCCAGAGCCGAGTGTAAGTCTGATTCAACCCTCACTTCCTGTGTCACCACAGTGGATCTTTAACCCCCTAAACTAGGGAGATGGGATGGCCTAGTGGTTACAGTGTTCACTCGTCACGCCGAAGACCCAGGTTTGATTCCCCACATGGGTACAGTGTGTGAAGCCCATTTCTGATGTCCCCCGCCATGATATTGCTGTAAATCTAAAATCACTCTAACTTGAAACTTTAGCGATTCTAGGACAGAAAGTTTCCAAGTAAGTGACATCCATCTCCATGTTTGCTTCAGATTTTTAAAGTTATTGTTCTGTTTCAGACGAGGGTGAGATCACAAGCTTGAAGAAAACAGTCGAAGATCTGGAAGTTATGATTCACCAGAAATCACAAGTAAGGCGACATCAGCTCTACATCTACTAACTAACCAGCTAACTATTTTAAACATCATTTCATAATGAATACTGTGTGTGTTTTTACTTGTGGTTTTGAATGTACAAGTGGAGCCATTCTTTCAGTTACAGATAATATAAATGTCTTCATCAATCAGTTCTAAGACAGTAAGGCCCTGAGGGTTTGCTCATTGCCTTGAAGAATCTAAGAATTGTGAAGCTGGAGTTTTTTATGAACTGTACTGTAATTACCTGCCTTTAGCAGAAATCAGTCAACAGTGCAAGGTGCTCATTATCTATCACTGCTACCAAGCAAAATGTCAGGAAGAGCAGAAAATATGTGATTGAATTGTTAATGGACACCTTTTCTATCCCCAACACTTGGACTTGAATATTTCCCCAGTATGTGTTGCTGATAGTACAATTACGCTGGATTACTACTCATGTTGGAATCCCTGGTATGGATTATCCCATGCCCTTTCCAGGTGTAAATACGAAGTTTTTGTGGGCATGCATGTATACCACAAGTACACATTCAAGGATGTTATGACTCTTTGGGTGATATACTTTCATCAAAATGATCATCAATTTACTGAACATTCTGAATGTGAATGACACACAATGAACCCCGTCATTTTCATTCGGGTTTGTTTGTAGCTTTAGAAGGTACATTTGGCTTCTGTCTACAAACACAGTATCTTCTTGTTGCGTCTGCAGACATGCACCAGTCTGAGCGAGAAGCTGGAGCAGACGCAGGCAGAGCTGGACGAGGTCAATGGCAGGGCAGACGTTTTGAGATCAGAACTCGCAAAGCATGAATTTGCCACACAGACAGGTACATCTCAGATCAACAAAGAAAGGTCTCCAGATCAATATCCAACTGTAATGAAAGTCTGTGATTTACAATAGCAGCTGGCGATTATAGGTTTGAATCCCACTAGTTCTGTTTTTAGGTTGATCAGCACCATGCTACTGCTGTTGGGTTTCAACAAAGTGGTAAATGCTGGACATGTGCGTCACTTCTTTCCTCTCTCCCATATACAGCCATACTCCCATATACAGCCACACTCCCATATACAGCCACACTCCCATACACACTCCCATATACAGCCACACTCCCATATACAGCCACTCTCCCGTATACAGCCACGCTCCCATACACACTCCCATATACAGCCACACTCCCATATACAGCCACACTCCCGTATACAGCCACGCTCCCGTATACAGCCACACTCCCGTATACAGCCACGCTCCCATACACACTCCCATATACAGCCACACTCCCGTATACAGACACACTCCCGTATACAGACACACTCCCATACACACTCCCATATACAGCCACACTCCCGTATACAGCCACGCCCCATACACACTCCCCATATACACTATATACACTCCCATATACAGCCACGCCTCCCATACAGCCACACTCCCATTTACAGCCACGCCCCATATACAGCCATACTCCCATCCACGCCCCATATACAGCCCATATACAGCCACGCTCCCATACACACTCCCATATACAGCCATACTCTCATATACAGCCACACTCCCGTATACAGCCACTCTCCCGTATACAGCCACACTCCCATATACAGCCACACTCCCATACACACTCCCATATACAGCCACACTCCTGTATACAGCCACGCTCCCATACACACTCCCATATACAGCCACACTCCCATATACAGCCATACTCCCATACACACTCCCATATACAGCCACGCTCCCATATACAGCCACACTCCCATACACACTCCCATATACAGCCACACTCCCATATACAGCCACACTCCCGTATACAGCCACGCTCCCATATACAGCCACATTCCCATACACACCCTATATACAGCCACACTCCCATATACAGCCAGCCATACTCCCATATACAGCCACCCCCCATACACACTCCCATATACAGCCAGACTCCCATATACAGCCACACTCCCAGATACAGCCACGCTCCCATATACAGCCACACTCCCATACACACTCCCATATACAGCCACACTCCCAGCCATATACAGCCACGCTCCCATATACAGCCAGCGCTCCCATGTCCAGATACAGCCACACTCCCTGTATACAGCCACACTCCCATATACAGCCATACTCCCATATACACACTCCCATATACAGCCACGCCCCATACACGCGCTCCCATATACAGCCACACTCCCATACACACTCCCATATACAGCCACACTCCCATATACAGCCACACTCCCATATACAGCCACGCTCCCATACACACTCCCATATACAGCCACACTCCCATACACACTCCCATATACAGCCACACTCCCATATGCAGCCACTCTCCAGATACAGCCACGCCCCATACACACTCCCATATACAGCCACACTCCCATATGCAGCTACACTCCTGTGATACAGCCACACTCCTGTATACAGCCACGCCCCAGATACAGCCACGCCCCATACACACTCCCATATACAGCACACCCTCCCATATATAGCCACGCCTCAGATACAGCCACGCCACGCCCAGATATACAGCCACACTCCCATATACAGCCACACTCCCTGTGATACAGCCACACTCCCATACACACTCCCATATACAGCCATACTCCCATATACAGCCACACTACTGTGATACAGCCACACTCTGTATACACCCAAACTCCCATACACGCTCCCATATACAGCCACTCTCCCATATACAGCCACACTCCCGTATACAGCCACGCTCCCATACACGCTCCCATATACAGCCACGACTCCCATATACAGCCACACTCCCGTATACAGCCACACTCCCATATACAGCCACACTCCCATACACACTCCCATATACAGCCACACTCCCATATACAGCCACACTCCCGTATACAGCCACGCTCCCATACACACTCCCATATACAGCCACACTCCCATATACAGCCACGCCCCCGTATACAGCCACCCTCCCGTATACAGCCACACTCCCATATACAGCCATGCTCCCATATACAGCCACACTCCCATATACAGCCACACTCCGGTATACAGCCACACTCCCATATACAGCCACGCTCCCATATACAGCCACACTCCAGTATACAGCCACACTCCCATATACAGCCACACTCCCGTATACAGCCACGCTCCCATACACACTCCCATATACAGCCACACTCCCATATACAGCCACGCTCCCGTATACAGCCCACTTCCGTATACAGCCACACTCCCATATACAGCCACGCTCCCATATACACACTCCCATATACAGCCACCCTCCCATATACAGCCACGCTCCCGTATACAGCCCACTTCCGTATACAGCCACACTCCCATATACAGCCACGCTCCCATATACAGCCACACTCCCAGTATACAGCCACCCTCCCATATACAGCCTAACCAGAACATGTCACATGATGCCAACATGTCAAAGTTCCCACTTTATTTCAACATCAACAGTAGGCCAGATAGGGGTCTCTTCCAATGTATTCAGAAACGAGAACCTTGAAGGTGTGAACTGGTTGCAGATCTTTTTTCTTTTGGATGCTGCAGCTCTGGAAGACCAGAGGAAACAAGACCGCGATGAATATGCTGAACAACTGGCTGAGATGGATCGCAAGCTGAATGAGGCTCGCAGAGAACACACCAAGGCTGGTAAGTGGAACTACAACAGATCATGACAAGACTTATTTCAAGATATATAGAATAAGTCCTTAGCAACTTGCGTAGATTGATGCTCATACTGTTGATCACTGGATTGTCTGGTCCAGACTCGATTATTTACAGTTCACTGTCAAAAAGCTGGATAATTGCTGACTGCAGACTTATACAAGATATAAACAAACAAATCCTTGGCAACATGTACCCTGATGATCACTGCTCAATTACTGTACTGTCTGCCATCGTACAACAGGGATACATCAGCAAATACACATGTCAACAGGTATCACTTCATTTTATTTCTGTCCCGTGAAGGTCTGGGTTAGAATATTGATCTTCAGTAACCCATGCTTGTAAGAGGCGACTAACAGAATCGGGTGGTCAGGTCGCTGACTTGGTTGACACATGTCATCGGTTCCCAATTGCGCAGATCGATGCTCCTGCTGTTGATCACTGGATTGTGTGGTCCAGACTCGATTATTTACAGACCGCCGCCATATAGCTGGAATATTGCTGAGTGCGGCGTAAAACTAAACTCACTCACTCACTCATTTTATTTCTGTCAACGATTCTCCATAGTCTCCATATCTGGCAATATGCCAGATACTTATTACACAACTGTTTGAGTTGCAAAGTCACCCTTACATCACATGTTGTTGTAAAACATTGGTAAAGTGTATATGCTTATGCTTATATACTGACCAAAGGAAGTTAAGAACACCCAATTCTTTCAGATAGTCTCATGTCCTGTCATGTGAGAGAATTAGGTGTTCTTTAACTTTTGAGAAGCATATGTAACTCTCCCATATAATGGGTCTTGGTCAGCCTTACAATTTTATACCCCTAAACACTGCCAGAGATGAAAAGGCACTGGATGTTATTGTTGTATTTAACATATGCTTTGTGTCTGTGAAACAAACTATGGTATGGGGTGCCATACCCTTTCACAAAAGCCAGGTTCAAGGGAGATAAGTGAGCTACCCTTATGTGTTACAGTTGTGTCAGTGCGTCAGCTTGAGAGACAGAGCGGTCGAGAGAAGGAGAGAATGAGAGAGGAGACGCAGACACTGGAGGAGCACTACAAGCGTCAGGTGGACAAACTCCATCATCAGCTCACCCAGGTGGAGAAAGACAGGAACATGATGATGGTAATGTTTGTACTCTTGAACCTGTTAAACATGGCGAGTGTACAGGTACATGCATAAATATAAATCTGAAATGCATCACCAGTTTGTTTTCACTTGGCAACTCAAGCAAAACTCAAGTAGGTCTTTGGTTCTCTTGTTGACCTCACCTGGATTGTAAGTTTAAAAAGGAAGTGAACTAAACTAGTGCCTAGTAGTGTAAGTGTAATGACTTCACAAAGACGGCTGAAATGTTTTAAAACTATCCGTCATTATAAACACCCTTTGATGCTAGTACTGTATCTCCAGGCGGTGGACAACTAATGTGCAGAGAAACATGTAGTACCATCCAGCGCCATGTGCTTTTGCCAGGAAACACAAGGGGAGACAACCCGCGTGGGCCCCATTTGCCTGCAGTATAGCAGGGCTGTTAGTACAGCGGGTAAACAGATGAAGCCCTTGTAAAATATCACATCAATGACGAAAGTAGAAACCACGCTTCAGAACGTTAAACAAACTATAGTCAAAAAGGTAACAAGTCACAAATTGTCACGCCACAGTATGGCTAAAAAGTTCGACATTAGACATGACCCACATAAATAAATCCACACAACAGCTCCCTGTGTTTGCAGGCAACACTGCGCCAAGAGGGGCTGATGAGCAAGGTGCGGTGTGAACGTGGGGAGCCTGTCACTCTCCAGTGTGAGGAGGTAGAGACTCAACCCACAGCCAGCAGTAAAGGTTGGTTACATACTGATTACAGACTGCAGACAGGTTTTGTAAACATGAAAAAGATTAATTTGGCTTCAGTAATACTACACAGAAAAGTGGCATGTTATTGAAAGAAAATTTTGGATAATTCATTGAAAAAAACCTTTATTGTAAATATGAGAAACTTTAACACAAGAAGTATGAAAAGCCTTATGGTTATTCATGTTGAAATGAAAACTCAGATATGACATTCTTCGAAACCTTGCTCATTGAACATTGTTTGACTTCTACATCACAGAATTATATTGCCATTATATTGTTTTCGCTTTTTACACAAAACTGATTCTCATTTGTCAAGTTTATTTGAACAGGATGTACCTATCCCAAACTGAGTAGCATAGTAGATGTAATAGTTGTATGGAAGACACTGTATCAGAAGGTGACGAGTCATGTAGGGAAAGTACACTCGAATATCCAGTCTATTGTATCTCGATTCTTCAAGACAAATATTCCGTCACCACCATCTCACTTATCAGTACCGCAAACTTTGTCAAAATATTTCTCTCAAGTGATTTTTTCAGGGAGCTGTTTATAGCATTTGAGTCACCCTTAATGATTCAATGTGAAGAAATGGTTAAGAGTATTACATAGAAAATAGTATTACATATTTTTCATGTTACTGTAAAACTGTCATGACAATAGCGAAATGAAAGAATCGTGTGTTCTTCAGCTTCTGTGGAGGGGTACGTATTGTTATGGAGATTGGACACTGGGTAATTGAGGATGGTGATAAAGAGAAAATGAATGTGATATGGATGTTGTGAAGTAATGCCTAGACTTCAACTTTGCAGGTGAGCCCATTACGGCTGTGCTTGAGGATTTACGGTCGCTGACGGCGGCGGTGCTAGAGGAGGGAGATGAATCTGAGGACGATGATGAGGAGAACTAACTAACATTGACGTTGTTGGAATAAGCAGTCCAACTCATCATGGCGAACACCATTGACCACTTGCTCCATTGTGAAGGGGCAGCTGGGTAGCCCAGTAGTAGCAGTAGCTCATGACATCGGAAACCAGGTTCTAGTCCCAAATGGGTACAAAGTGTGAATCGGATTTCCAGTGTTTTAAAGAGTGAGGGGTGGTGGGGTAGCCCAGTGGTTAAAGCGTTCGCTCGTCACACTGAAGACCCGGGTTCAATTCCCCTCATGGGTACAATGTGTAAAGCCCATTTCTGGTGTCCCCCGCCATGATATTGCTGGAATATTGCTAAAAGTGGCGTAAAACTGAACTCACTCACTCTAAAGAGTGATGTAGCCAGAATATTGCTTGGGCATTAAACCATGGGTTCAGTGTACAAATCCCATATCCCAAATCTCAACACTCACTTATACGTCGTATTAGTCCTGTGAGAAAGTATTTCAATTGGTTTTATGTACTATACATATCCTTGACATTCCGTCCAAGTTTTTCTCTGTGATATCCTTGTAATTATTTTAAGTTTATGGGGAAAAATCTTCTCAGAAGAGAATTTGGTAGGACAGTTTCTTCATAAAATAATAGGTGACTATGGAGAAATAAATTTATCTTTAATACATTGTCAGTTGTCATGCATGAATAACATTGTCCAGTTATTATGACACAGACATTTAAAAATATGTTTTCAATGGTAATAGAAATGGCCAATTGGATTTAAGATGACGTGACAATGCCAAAGAAACAATTCCTCTTTTTAACAGAGTAATAAAAATCCCTTTACAGTGTTTTGTATATGTGGTAACCAAGTGGTTTAAGCACTGGTTTGCAAGCCCTAGGGCTGCGTTCAATTCCTTTCATGAATGCATATAGAATCCATTCCACTCAAGACTGTACTCACTCACTGTTTAGTGTTGGAGTTTAGGAGTTTTCACTGTAAATTGTCCTGCTGGAGAAAGTTGAATGTCTAGGGAACATGTGACATATAAAATGTTGGACTCACTGTCAGAAAGTGTTTCATATTTGTCACACAATCACATGTATCATATTGTGTATATTTTGTAAATACAAAATTAAAATATACAAAAGCAACTAGTTTTGTGTTGTTATACGGATTATATGTGTTGTCATGTGGGATTCAACCTCGTTAACATCAAATTTACCTCAGTTATGAGCACAATGGTATCTACACAAAGGAGTGTGTATCAGTCTAGACCCTTGTGAGGATTCCAGGTTAGAATGGGTCCCCAGCAAACTTAGGTGGTCACAAGACACAACCAAACATACCGTGTGCTCAGGCTACAAAACATAGTTGTCATGAAACACCAACAGCATGGATCACTGCTGACAATATCAGTCACTGTATTATCTGGTCCAGATTCAATTGTTTACAGGCTGCCACCATGCATCTTGAATATCAGTGTTACCTACATCATCTAGACTACATCTGAAACGGGTTCCCCCTTTAATGTACCACAACTTTCAGAATAATATTCTTCAATATTCTGTTTACACCTGGTCTCAATTCAAAACAGTGGCCAGCACCAATACATGCTTAGAGACCGTTCATAATAAAAGATCAGCAATGACAGTGAGGATCAACAGCAATGATCAGCAATGACAGTGAGGATCAACAGCAATGATCAGCAACAACAATTATCAGAGTTACGGTCACCATAGCACTAAGATCGCTTTGTACAACGGCACCCAGGCCACAATGAAATAGCATGATAAGGGACTATTAATAATTTATGGCTGCGGGGTGATGATGATTTTAAGACGGGGGTCATCATTTTTGTACATGTACATATGAAAAAAAGATGCTTAAAAAAATCATCAAATAATGAACAGTCCCTAATACACATTCAGCCAAACAAAGTCTCTACAAAGCTACAAAGTCTCTCTGTGCAGTCAACTGGTAGGGCAACCTGAAATGCTACAGGTCTCTGATATTTATCAGCTTGGAGTACGACCAAATGATCACAGGATTCTGCCCTGACCAAGGGGTGCAACTCCGGGCGGACGCTCTAACCACTACACCACGGAGGCGGTCTGTGCCCCACAACAAACATATGAGAACCTGAGATATTACAGAAAAAGAGATGAAAAAGAATTTATTTATTGGTCCCAGACCACCCAATGTGCAGATGTAAAGGGACATGTGCACGTGCATATTGGAACCATCACTTCTTTTACTGTTTAGAACTGAATGCAGTCTTGATGGTCAGCGTTTGAAGTATAGTTCTGTTAGCTGATCTAAGCATAAACTGACGTGAAATAAATTTAAAATTGGTTTATTGCAGGTATTTCACTTAAAAGGTTTGTGAACAATATTTTTTCATTCACTGCTAAGCATAACATTCCGCAAATACTCATCGGGCAGAGGCGACCAAAGGGAGATAATAATGTAACTCTTTACGGTTCGGAGATAAAAATTGTGCTCGGTTCCGGAGTCTCAGAAAACGCACGTGAAACTGTTTTCTAAACACCGTTTTGATTCACAGAAGCGTTGTCATGCCAATGTGGTGATGGAATTCTGTACAGAATTAGCTGTTTTTCAGTCTGCGGCAAAATTTGCAACGTTAAAGGTACGAATTTAGGTATATTTCGTCTATTGATGCACGTTGGTGTCGGGGACATTGCATATGTCGATATGATATATGAATCATGATAGGGATAAATGTAAGTTTAGTGCAACAGACGACATAACTGCATGATCTGAATGTAGAAAAGACGTTTCCTTTGTTATCTAGCTGAGGTAATGGTCTGTTAAGTGCTGAAAACAGATTACCATTATATCATAAGTTTTCAAACTTAAAATTCAAGTAGCTGAGACAGGAGACATCACCTGCTGACCGTCTACACTCCCTCATTAACCTGTGTCATATAGCATATCATCCAGTAGAACGAAAGGCAAGAGTTCCTCCTGTTCCCCCATCCCAAACAATATTTATAAATATACTAAAATTATTAACAAAACTTAACACAACAATTACTAGAGAACACACAAAATTACTGAAAGTCCCAAATTTAAGTTAGGGTTATGTTTAGGATTAGGTTTAGTTAGGTTTAGGGTTGGGGGAACGGAAGGAACTCTTTCCGAACGAAAGTTCTTTTTGTCAGAGTGATGACACAGTATTTTTGTTCCACGTGGCAGTTTCCAAAACCAGCTGGCATTACGGATTCAGAAGAAGTGCGAAAATTCACTGACTTGATATCACCTGCTGTCCGTGAGATCCTAGATGGCCTGGACCATGAACGCAGCCTCATGGACAGAAATGTGTGGAGCTTGAAGCTGCTGTCATTCCTGCTAACACATGTCTTGAAAAATATTGACAACAATGACAAGCAGGTTGACGCAGTGAGATCATGTGAGACTTCTCACTGTATTGACCAATCTCTGGCTGAGGTAGAGGCACCGTTTGTTGCTGACAAGAAGGGCAGCAGATCAGCTGATCACATTTTTCAGCATTTCCCATGCTTAAATCTAGCTATCCTGTTTGATCTTGTTAAGAGATTCAAATGGAACGGGCATCTGCTTGAGGTAAGTGGATTCCCTGGTCTATGTTTGTTGTCCTGGTATATGTCACAAAATCAAGACCGGGCTCACTTCCAGAGAGTCATCATGGTTGTTAGTCTTTGTTAAAGTATGGAAGATACAATTACTTTAGCACAATGTTCACTGTTGGAATGAACCCAGGGAATAACTTCGGAATACAAACTACTGTATTTGCACTATTACCTGCACCCTGCTAAAGTTCTCTATTAGTGATTTTAATAATCACTCAATACTAACCTGAGAAATATATTTGAGATGATGCTTGACACATTCAAATATTGGAAAGTTATTTATTGGTCCTCAGGTAAATGATAATATGATCAACATCTCCTTAATCGTCTACTTACACATCTACTGTCACAGAAGTCATAAGATCTTATTATTTTCTCTCATTTCCATTTGCAGTGTTTGCAAGTCCTGGACGAATCTCAAGCAGCAATAGTTGTCACCTCCATTATTGAAGAGATTAAGTCATCAGATGATCCCAACAATCTTGAACTTGTGGTCACATGTCAGAAATACCTCATGTGGTTGGTGTTCAAGTCGGCCAATCAAACAAATGGCCAACTTAATGTTGCCATGATCATGAAACTTACTGCAGATTGGTTTTGCCAACATTTGAATGAGATTTATCTACAAGAGTTAGAAACTAAAAGATTATTAACTGAAGTGATTCATATACTTGTCTTTCTTGGATGTGTTTGTTGTAATGAAGTCTGTGAAACTAAGTTGAGAACTTTGCTTTTAAATTCAGAACTGGAAAAAGATAAAACTGTTGTTCATCGAGAGGCAACAAGGGTTTTAGGACTTTTGAAAAAGTCACTAACTGGACAAGATCATGAAAATACATTTTCAGAAATACTACAGGGGATTCATGAAGGATTTCAAAAGCAAGCATGGTTGGAGATATTAGCATCCTTTCTAACACACTTGAACAGTGAAGGAGAGAGCCAGTCAGAAAGAACTGCTGCATTAATGGAAGACATAGCAAGGGAGACAACTCTAGACCTTGGCATAATGGACTTGAATGTGACTTCCTTTTATGAGAGGTTACTTGATACAATTAAGACTGAGAGGTAATTGTTTTGTTTGTGTTTGGAGACTTATAAAATATAACTATCATAATTTTGACTATCATTTGAATAATGATTTTAGTAATACTGCATGCAGTTATGATTTTGAATTCAGTTCAACACATGAAACATTTACATATTTGACATATTATTTAGAGGGTTTAAAGACTAAATAAATGAAAACATTTTCAACATGTATTTTTCATGTCCCAATCATACATGGATGGCCCAATAATCTAAGGCCATGCATCCCCTGAGCACATCACAACCTATGCTTCTTGCTTTGAGTCGCATCTGCCCCTGATTGTGTTTCTGTGTTTTACCAGCGCCATGCTGGTGGGTTTTCACCGAAGCGGCAAATGTTTGAAACCTACATCACTTCTGGCCATTCTTGCCTCTCAAGCTGACAAACCATGGTATCGTGAAATACTTCAAACAGCTGTAACTTCGTTCACCAAAATGTTATTTTTCTTATCCTGACTCATGTTTATTTGCTTGTCTTCTTCTTCTGGCGAACCTAGTGGAACACTTGTATCTCCCAATTGAAGTTCCCTTCAATAAAAAATCACTCATTAGCACTGACCACGAGTTACCTCCCTTCCACAAGCGCGGGAGCGAGAGAGCCACCTGAACCCATGTGCCTCACTCTCTCCTTCTTAAGCCCAGTGAGCAAGGCGTGAGAGCACCTGTGTCTCCCTGCACACTATATCCTTTATTTATATTTAGTTTGTTACCTCTTATATTCATCTATAGAGGTGTAACTAGTATCATTATTCAACATGCATTGATAATTATTCGTGTTTCTGCTGCTTGATTCACGGTTCGCCGTGTTGCTCAGCAGTTTGCGTTAATAAAAATCTGCACTGTTTGTAAATTACGTTACTCTGCTACCGATCCACATTTAAAATGCCCTAGTTGCATTACTCCATGTTCTATTGTTTCTTGTTGTAAATTATATATTAATTTACCAATTTCTGCCTTTGATAAATATTTATGTTCCGTTTTGAGACGGAAGGCAGATAAATCTCGGAAACAATCTTCAGTCATGGCTAATAGATCGGAGTCAGATATATCCTGAGTTACCCGGGGATAAGCGTGGGGCGCAGTCCGCTATATCTAGAAGCGACCTGATTCCCAGGACGTTCCTTCATCACAGTATAAAACTAGAAGAACTTCCACGTCGTCTCAACGTATGCTCCGAGCCCCCAGGTTTACAGCCTCGTCAAAGGGAAATCCACGAAGACTACTAAAAAACTTTGCTTCTGATATTCAGAATTATGTTTATATGATGATGACATTTCGATTATCATTCCAGATGTATGTCATAAGAAGTGACCAATGCGGCTACCGTCACTTCAGCATGAGATCAACATGCAATCAGAGATGCCTACGCTGACGCCGGAGATTATAACTGAGGGTCCGTCACTATCACAGAGGACACCCTCAGCGCCAGCGCAGACCATCCCAGGCGACCTGGTCAACCAAATCATGAGGCTGATGGAAGGCCGTTTACGGCTTACAGAGGCCTCAGAAGCCACGAGCCCCAGAGCCCACCCCATACTAAGTCATACAGGGCCCCAGAGCCCGCCTTGACTTCAGCGTGGGAGCCCCTGAGCCCATAGGCAGCCTCCGCGAAGGGCAACCCTGCCCGGAGTGAGCTCTTTGCATAAGGTATCCCAGGCCGCCTCCGAGAAGGAGCTAGAGTCTGACCCTTTGCAAGAGGCTTCGCGGAGAAGGAGTGCTTCGCCTAGCACGCACCTTGTCATGTACGAAGGGCGTTCGCAAAGCAAGCACTCATATGTCGGATCGGACACTGACTCCAGACATTCGCGCAAGACGCGAAGGCTAAGTGGTTCTAGCGCCTAGAAGGCGTTGGCGCGCAGCCCTCAACGTTCGAGAAGCCCAGAGCGTCGGCGAAGCCATCACCGTTCTCGAAGCCCACAGTTCCGCGAAGGATGTCTTCTCCAAGGTCTACATACACTAGCCAATCGTCAGTCCGTTCTCCTCAGTCCTCACATAGATCTTCTTACAGATCGAGGTCTCCGACATACGACCATACGTCAGAGGAAGACGATGGTATCATTTAAGATCGGACTCTAGACACTTCGCTAAGGAAGTCCCAGGCCGCCTCCGCGAAGGAGCTACAGCCTCACCAATTGAGAGGGACATCGCGGAGAAGGAGCGCTTCGCCGAGCCCACACCCTGTAGAACACAGAGGTCGTTCGCGAAGCAAGCGCTCATATATTAACTCTGACTCGATACTTTCGCGAAGGTCGCGAAGGCTAAGTGGCTCCAAGTCTACTTCACCCAGAAGATCTAGAAGCGTTACTTCGAGATCTTCGCGAAGTCCCCGGCGTTCGCCGAGGAAGTCTCCTCCAAGGTCTCCATATACTAGCCACTCGTCATATATAGCCACTCGTCAGTCCGTTCAAGACATCACATGAGTTGTTTATCAACTGTAAGCCATATGCCGTCTACAAGCCTACGCGAAGACAATTGCACAGGCTATTTACAACACACAACGTCGCTGTATTAATTTATCAACGGATGAAGAGCCTAATTAGGGATCTTCAAGCCGACTACCTACTACGATACGATTATCTACATGCGTGACCATTACGCAGATCTGCAGACAATTCAAAACGAAATTGAACAGCAGTCTTGTTACAGCGAGTAAAACTCATAATCGTCAACGATTTCCTCAGAAGTAATATGTACAACAAGTTCAGCTTTAACAGTCTACAAGCTGACAACTTGCAAGGTTATTGAACCTTATATAAAGAAGTCGGAATTATCTTCAAGACTGAAGTTACTTTCACGACAACCTGGAAAATAACTTATCCAGCATTAATATTACAGAGCGAGGTATTTCGCGCCGGAGGTTTTAGCGTTTACCATCAACCCTCGAAACCGCGTGGTCACTTTCGGGTAACCGGGAAGTTACGGTGAAGACCGACGATTGTTCTAATATCAAGCGGCGGCACTATATTATACAAGGTTCCTTTCCTGATACACCGGTGGCGTCACCAGCGGGTACTCTACAGAATCAAAATGCCTTGTTCTGATTGGACCGAGATGGACAACGCCCTACGCAGAGGTCGATCATAGTTCACAGTTCAACACATAGGTTGCAAGTGACAACAATATATCAGTGAGCGAGCAAGCCTCCTTACAGTCCAGCTAATCTAAACCTTCATGATTGGGCTGCCTTCTTGAGGTTAGAGACCTCCCCTGTCAAGTAAGGCGAGGACACGGCAGTCAGGCGATTTTTACATAAAGTTCAGCGATGGCAGTCACCCTGGTTATGCATCTACATCGTCAAACGCACATGGCGAATTTACCTCGACGACGGGATACAAATGGATCCAAATCCATAGCGTCTCAGACTACAGTTGAATTCATCATCAAGCTACTAACACAACTAGATGGTTAGTAAACCTACTTAAGTTGGACCTAGAACCTTCGCAAGATCTGCTATTCTAGGTTTTGATTTTATGCGGTAGCAGAATCGTATAATTGTACCGGAGGACCATGGATCAAGATCAACAGTCATTTCCACAAGCCTTACTATCTCCACTACCACTACGACAGTGACAGAGTCTGTTGGGGTTACGCACTTCAGCTCAGCTCAAGACATGACAGACAGAGGCAGACTACAATTACATCCGTTACAAGTCATCAGCAATTCGCATCTAGACGAATCTCTACCGTTCAATCATCGGTTCAGGTCAAACCTCATCTACTATGATGCACCAAGAGATCGAATGTTTGAATAGGCGTCTCGTTAATAGAGCTGGAATCGATAACACTTCTCTACGTAGATGTGTCACTATAAGGTTGGGGAGCCCATCTTGCCAACAGGACGGCATCAGGGCTATGAGCAATCAAGAGAGCAATTACACATAAATTTGCTAGAGATGCAAGCAGTAATAAACGCCTTAATACACTGGAGCAACTTACTACAGTATACCCAGTGGATGATTCACACAGTCAATTCGACAGTGGCGTTTTTATGTGAACAACTAAGCTCAACCAGGTCCCCGAACATATCGACTCTGTTTTCAATTGTTCGATTTAATCAACAATCTCAACATACATGTCAGAGCATATCACATTCCAGGAGCAAAGAATGTGATAGCAGACGCTCTCTCTCGGCCACACATACCATCGCCGACAGAATGAATGCTCCATACAGAGATATTCACTCAAATTATCAAGGAAATAGGAACTACACTAATAGACCTATTTACCATTCGATTCAACAAGCAACTGACAACATTCGTATCGCCAGTTCCAGACCCACTAGCATTGGCAACAGGCGCACTAAGCATATGGTGGGAAGGTCTCATGGCGTGCGCTTTTCCGCCACCAGCGTTAATCTCACAAGTTTACTCTAAATCAGTCTAAAGCAGAGCCTCCATCTGATTTTGGTCACGACCTACTGACCAGCGAGGAAGTGGTTTCCAACTCTTATTCAAGAAATCGGACAACCAATACTACACCTTACAGAGTGCTTTCGAATAACAAAGCATGGAAAGCCAGATATATTCCAACTCCGCGTATGGATTGTATCAAGGCGTGTCTGAATAACAAGTTATTCAGCCAGAGCGGCAAAGCAGTCTAACTTGCCCTGCGTAACTCAACTGGCAACTTATCACGATGACAAATGGCACAGTTTTGTCAATTATGCTGCAAAGGAAGGATTTACAGCTAGATATGCTACTCATCCTCAAGTGGCGGACTACTTATGTTATCTCGTCAGACTAAGATTTTATAAAGAGCAGCTTGTCCACCTATCTTGCAGCAATAGCTCTATCATAACTGAGAATGGGCGTCAAGTTAACCTAACCCAGTTACTCGCCTGCTACGAGCTTTCCGATTGGAGGATTAAAAGCGGAAGTTCAGCTCCAACTTGGGATCTGAATATAGTGCTCCAACACCTCACAAGTGAGGTTTATGAACACGCTTTGATGATATACTTGAACCCCATGATACGATGAATCTATC